CCCTCAACAAATGGTATTTTTTAACTCCGCTGCTTCCCGCTTCCTCCCCCAAATCGTATTCCTCCTCCTCCGCTGCTTCCCGCTTCCTCCTCCTCCTCCTCCTCCTCCTCCTCCTCCTCCTCCTCCTCCTCCTCCTCCTCCTCCTCCTCCTCCTCCTCCTCTCCTCCTCCTCCTCCTCCTCCTCCTGCTTATCTCCCCGCCAACCCGCTTTCTACAGACGACGGGGAGAACAAGCTTGTTCAGAACCAGAAACCCGTATCCTCTCCACTCATAGCCTCCTTCTCCCATACCCCTACCCTCTCATCCTGTCACTGGCCCTCTCCTCCCCTTCCCTCCCCCCCTCTCCCCTCACTCCCTTACCCCCAGCCGTTGTGCCACCTAGCCTCGTTCTCCCATCCCCCCTACCCTCTCATCCTGTCACTGCCCCTCTCCTCCCCTTCCCTCCCGTCCCCTCCCTCACTCCCTCCCCGCGGCCTTTGTGCCACCTGTCGCCCTGCCTCTGCGGGTTCCTTCCCACAGCCTGGATTGCTGCGGGCGACGAGGAGAGGAGAACGAGTGTGAGCTCAATTAGAGAGCCTCTTCCCTCTTTACCCCTTTCATTGCTCTCCCTTCCGCGTTGTCTCCCCACCACCTCGCTCGCTGCATGCGACGAGGAGAAGGAGATTGGGCTAAATCAGAGAACCAATTCTATCGTTACCCCTTAAAAGGCTTCTTCCTCTTCCTTTCCTCCACTTTACATTTCCTGTCCCTTTCCCCTCCCTCCTGCCCCACCCGTTGTCTCCCCATCCCCATCGCCTCGCTCGATGCATGCTATGAGGAGAGGAGAACGAGATTGGGCTCAACCCCGTTCCTTTCCACCCCTTGACTCGTTCTGCCTTCTTCCCCACCCTGTCACCTCCCACACACACCCGGCCCTCTTCCCACTCCCTTTTTCTCCTCCCCTGGTCTCCCCACCCTCGCTCGCAACAGACGATGAGGAGGACGAGTTCCCGTTCGTCCCCACCCTCAATCATAGCTTCGTTCTCCTTGGCACTCCTTGCCTTGTTCCCACCTCTCCTCCACAACCCTCTTCCTCCCATCACTTCCTCTCTTCTCCGAATCCCTTCTCTTCCTCCCCTCCAGGTGACGAGGAGAACGAGTTTGGGCTCAACCAGAGGGCGGGCGCTGCTGATGTGGCGCTGGCAATCATTACGCAGGCGCATGCTTCCTGGCAGCTTCTCACCGAGGACAGCCCGCCGTGTCTCTCCCCCTGGAGCCCCATCAACCTCGTGCTCTCCGCGCTGCGCGTTCTTCGCGGCTCATGGCGCAAATACACTGATCAGTACTAAAAAGAGGCGGGATGTACAGGAGCCGAGAAGGGTGGCAACGGCGGTGATGGTGGTGGCACTTGTTGCGAATCTCGATAGGTAGTTGCAGATATATTTACAGGTGTTATGGCTTTCAGTAATTGAACTTTTGGAAACTTGGGGCTTCCTTGCATGGATTGCAAAATTTGATTGTCATGGTATTTTTGATTTTGTTAGCTACACATGAATGAACACTTGTTTTGTTAACATGTCAGTATCCTCTGCATCTACATTGGTTTCAATGGTCATTATCGAGGCCTAGCAATATACCGTAGTTGTATTCTCCTCCTCCTCGCACATGCTCAACTGTTTTTTTCCCACCGTGTCTGTGTAGTTTGACTTGTGTTTTGCTAAGTCCTGGCTCGCCTTGTCTTCGACTTCCCTTTCCTCGTCACACAGACTTAAGCACGTGTTTTCGTCTGCCACTCGGTTTTAACTTAGCCCTCACTTTTGATTCGGCGCGCTTACGACAGGTGCAGAACGATTCACCGTACACTTCGCGCAAGTGGTGTTTTTGTGTTTGTCCGCGCTCGCTCGCTGCTGGGGTGCGCACGCTGTACACTTTGCGAGCTTGACGCTTGCAGCCAACAATCAATTGGCTAACGCCGGGGGTAGGGCACTGTACAGTTGGGAAGAATAGCACGTGGCGATTTTTGTTCCTCAGCTTCTGTTTGTTATCTGATTCTCTTTCGGGATTCTGGTTGGCTGTTTGTTTTGTTGAGCTGTATTTATTTATTCGCCCTTGCTACTCTCATTCGTTTGTTCGCACCCGTTATTGCTGCTCAGTATAGACCGTCTGCTGTTTTGCTAACCTAGGTCGTTCGTCACCACCACCCTGCATGTTTTAAACGAACTTAAGCACGAAAATTTGGCCCCTGCCCTCTCCACCCTCCTGCTTTTTCGTTCTCTGGGTAGAAGGCGAGCCTCAAGCTCAGCAGCAGTTGCGAAAACAAAACCAGTGGGCATGGGTTTATTTCACGACCTGAAGCACGACTTTGACCCAGCTGTTATTTTGCGCTTGGGCTGGATTGGCAGCGTGATTGCTTACGACTGTTGGACAATGCAGGTGTGCGCTTTGCGATTCTTTTTTTCTCAATCTCCGAACTCTACAGTTTGTGTTCCCCACCCAATCCCGCTCATCCTGCTTGTTTCTGAGCTGTAAACGACGCTTAGGCAAGGAACTGTTTGAGCTTGAAGCTTGACTCTGCACAAACAGTTGAATGATTCTTTAAGGCGCAATACACCTTTTCGCTTTAAGCGTTTGTCGCGTCCTTCAGTTCAATTTGCGTTTGAAACATTCTGAACGTTCTGAACCGAGAGTTAAAATTAGGGTTTCACATCCAAGGCTGCAAGAGAAGGCGCCCAGGAATCGAACCCAGCTTCACGATAACCCTTCAACCAAATTTCCCAGCTCTCTCACATCATCTTCGGTGCGCCACCTAGTAGTAGTAGTACCACCCTCCACCCACCGCCCGTCCTTTGTAGTAGCACAGCAGCACCAGGTACTAGTAGTAGAACTAGGACTACTAGTTAGCTTTAGTAGAAGCCGTAGAAGCCGTTCGTATCGACCCCCAGGGTTTTCCCGTTTGTAGACTCATATACGCGCGCATGTGGTGTTTGTTTGTTTGTTTGTTTTTTTTTTTCTCTCCTGTCGATATGCATTTACTAGTACTCCTACTACATCGTCGCTTTGTGACAATGTTTTTACCCATGGTTCACTCCGGCGACGTGCAGGTCTCGTCGGAGGTTTTCGGAGCACAGGCGGCGAGCAGGCGGCGGCCAAGCGAGTGCGAGCCGCTTGTCTCGCTGACGTCGCGACTACTACGAGTAGTTGTACACATGCAGGTCCTGGGACGGCCTTGGTCCATAGAGTGAGCATCGAATGCGAGAGAAGCGCGAAGGATGTGTCAATCTTGTGGCGTATGTATGACGAAATGCGGGCGAATAACTGACGACAGGCGACCGTTACCGACCATGCTCGACCGCTCCTCATAAAACACGCTTCAGTTACAAACGCGTACGCAGCCATTGCATTCATGAAGCTGTCGCAGGTGCTGTCGCAAGCGCACGCGACAGCTGGTTACAATCGCAACAAGTTCCCCGTTTTCGCGCTGCTGTGCCAACTGCTTCACCCTCGTCACTCTCTATGGGTACGCGTTACTGGCCGGGACTCGTTACCGCTACACGCCCCTGTCCTCCATACCTCTCCACATCCTCCCGAGGCCTCGAGAGTCCTCATTTTCCCCAATTTCCTGTCCAACGCATCTCTCCCCCACCACCCGTGTTTCTCTTCTGAGTCGATTTCCTTTTTAATCTCCCACCTCACAGCCCCTGACTTGCTTCCGCCGATCACACTCAGCCTCCACTGAACCCCCCTGTTCCCTTTCCGCTCCCCCCAAGCCAAGTCCCCCCTCTCTCCCCTTCCCCCAACCAGCACCGTCCCCCGGTTTTCCGGGACTCTGGATATTGACGACGCCGCTGACGTGGATCTGCGCAGCAGCAGCGGCGGGGAAGGGCGGGGAGGGGGAAGCGCTGGAGACGTTAAGCTGGCTGGTGCCAGCATTCCTCGCCGCATCGTATTTTGAGGCGTATTTTGAGGCGCCTCAAAATGCATCCCCATCCCCATCCCCATCCCCATCCCCATCCCCATCCCACCGTCCCTATCCCTATCAAGGGCACTGGAGTCGTTAAGCTGGCTGGTGCCAGCATTCCTCGCCGCATCATATTTTGAGGCGTATTTTGAGGCGCCTCAAAATGCATCCCCATCCCCATCCCCATCCCACCGTCCCTATCCCTATCAAGGGCACTGGAGACGTTAAGCTGGCTGGTGCCAGCATTCCTCGCCGCATCGCTGCTCACTGCCTTCCTCCTGCTGCTACTCATCGTTAGCCTCTCTGCCTCCGCCAAGGCAAATCTGCAGGCCAACAGCGTCAACAACGTCTTCTTCTGTGCCTTCCATGTCAGTCAGCTGCCCTTCTTGCCAGTCAGCTGCCCTTCTTGCCAGTCAGCTGCCCTTCTTGCCAGTCAGCTGCCCTTCTTGCCAGTCAGCTGCCCTTCTTGCCAGTCAGCTGCCCTTCTTGCCAGTCAGCTGCCCTTCTTGCCAGTCAGCTGCCCTTCTTGCCAGTCAGGCGCCTTCCATCCCAGTCATTCACCTTCCATCCCAGGCAGCCGATTTCCATGTCACTCACTCAACTTTCATGTCATCCCCCCTCCATCTACCCTCACTTGTCCCTCCCTCGGCCCCCATGCTTCCTCCCTCCCCCCCACACAGGCGATTTCAACGTTTTCCAACACAGGGGCAGAACTGCTGAACGATAACCTAATTTTGGGCGCCTCAAAAATAGACCCCTCGGCCCCCATGCTTCCCTCCTCCTTCCCGCACAGGCTATGTCGACGTTTTCCAACACAGGGGCGGCACTGCTGAACGATAATCTAATGGGGTTCGTGAGGGTGCCAGCTCTGATCATCGTCACGTCGGTCTTCATTCTCATTGGCAATACCATGTACCCGCCCACGCTGCGAGCCCTCCTGCTTCTGCTCCGGCACTTCTCACGAGGAGAGAAAAGGGTAAGGTCTGCACCGCACTGCACCCTCTTGAATTTGATCACTCTAAGAGGGAACTTCTGCACCGCACCACACCGGTCTCGTAGATGGCTAATGACTGCACCCTTACCCGTCTTTCCCTTCACATGGTTGCCGTTTTCCGCACTAGGTCCCCCACCGCTCTCCAGTCACCTCTCTTCTTGTTCCTGGCTCCCTCCCTCCCTGTGTTGCACTGCACGCACACTTGGCAATCCTTTTTTCTACTGTACCATCCTGCAGGTTGTTTTTGAGGCTGCACATCAATTCTAAAAAACAACCTCCTTTTTTCTTCTTCTACTGTACCATCCTGCAGTGTGATCCCTCAGAACATCTACTCACACTCTCCTGCATTTGCACACACACTGCGTGCACCCCTGTTGAGGTCATGTGAAAACAGTCTCTTACATCGCAGGGTTCCTATTTTGAAAAATATATCTGCTACCCCCACACCTACATTGTTGACCCCTTCAGTTTGTCCACACCTACCTACCGCATCTCATCTTACAGGCGCACAAATGCCATTAGCACCTCTTCTGAGGTGACTCAAAAGCAGACTCATTGCAGTCGGCGTTTCTTACATTGAGAAGTGTCTGCAACCCTCTCTCACCCTTTGCCCTGGCCGGCAGTTTGTCTACTCGTACCTTCTTTTGCGCCCGCGCAAGTGCTACACGCACCTCTCTTGAGGTGCTTCAAAAGCAGACTCATAAAACTGGGTTCTTCTTATACTGACAAGTGATTTTCGCCCCCCTCACCCCGTGCCCCTCAGTTCGTCTACTCCTACCTTCTCGTGCACCCACGCAAGTGCTACACGCACCTCTTCCCACCGCGCTCCACCGTGATGCTCGTGCTAACAGTGCTCGCGTTCAATCTCACGGAGTTTGTCTTCTTCTGTGCCACTGACTGGACCTCGCCTGCCATTGACGGCTTCACCAGTGAGTTGCAGGTGGACTGCGGGTATGCGAAAAAGACCAACAAACAAGGATTACGTATATATTCCCAGAGGATTTGTCTTCCTGAGGGAACTTTTGCGTCGACTCAAAAGTCACCTAAAGACCAACAAACAAGGATTACGTACGTATTTCCTGAGGATGTGTCTAGGAAGAGAGCACTTCTTCCTTTTGGTGGGGGCTTTGTCTGCCCAAAAAAAAAAAACAAAAAAACAAAACAAAACCCCACACACAATGTTACTCCACATTCCCCCCACCTCATGGTTGTGTGTGAGTGCATGCCAGGTGGATATTGGCTGGATATTTCCAATCTGTGAGCACACGCAATGCTTTTTGAGGCACCTCAAACACAGTTTCTCCACTCTTCTCCCTCTCTACCCTTTGTGTTTGTGTGTGTGCGCATGGCAGGCGGGACCAAGGTACTGGCAGGATATTTCCAATCTGTGAGCACACGCAACGCGGGATTCAACGTAATTGCCATCGGCCTCCTGCGCCCCCCCATGCTGCTGCTATACCTGGGCATGATGTGAGTGCATGGTGTGAGAGTGCAAGGGGCATGGTGTGAGAGTGCAAGGGGCATGGTGTGAGAGTGCAAGGGGCATGGTGTGAGAGTGCAAGGGGCATGGTGTGAGAGTGCAAGGGGCATGGTGTGAGAGTGCAAGGGCATGGTGTGAGAGTGCAAGGGGCATGGTGTGAGAGTGCAAGGGGCATGGTGTGAGAGTGCATGGGACATCACCCTCCCTTACATATCCCAGCCTCCCTTCCAAACTCTGCTCAGGTGTGTGGCCATGAATCCTTTGCACAAAAAAATATCATTACCAACTCTGGCTTCACATGGAGTTTCTGAAAATTCTAAAAAACACCCAGCCCCCATTCCATTCCATTTCATTCCATTCCAATCCAATCTCACAACCGCCCTCCTTTCCATCCCCACAACCACCCACCCTTCCATTCCATTCCCTGCTGCTCTCTCGAACGTGAGCAGGTACGTGGCTGTGTATCCTCTGTACCTGACGAGGCAGACATCGAGGGAGCAGAGGGAGGTGTATGATGACGAGGATATTGGGGTGTTCTGGGAAGACCTTCAGGCAAGTTCTGTTCCAAGTCCCTGCGAATGAGTGAGAACTTGTGGGATGGGGAGGGGTGTGGGGGATGGGGAGGGGTGTGGGGGATGGGGAGGGGTGTAGGGGACGAGGCAGACGTCAAGGGAGCAGAGGGAGGTGTAAGACGATGAGGACATTGGGGTGTTCTGGGAAGACCTGCAGGCAAGTTCTTGAGTGGCTTTTGAGTTGACCCAAAAGTCAAGGGAGCAGAGAGAGGTGTATGACGACGAGGACATTGGGGTGTTCTGGCAAGATCTGCAGGTGAGTTCACATTACATCCCTCTGATGCAACAGCAGTCAGTCCCTTCGCCCGGGAAACTGCCACTGCTAAAAATTTAAAAATTGGCGCTTAAGACGTCGAGGGAGCAAAGGGAGGTGTACGATGACGAGGACATTGGGATGTTCTGGGAAGACCTGCATTCAAGTTCTTGAGTGGCTTTTGAGTCGAGATGGTCATTAAAGTCTGTTGTGTGTGTGTGTGTGTGTGTGTGTGTGTGTGTGTGTGTGTGTGTGTGTGTGTGTGTGTGTGTGTGTATGTGTGTGTGTATGTATGTGTGTGTGTGTGTCTGTGTCTGTGTCTGCGTGTGTGTGTGTGTGTGTGGGTGTGTGTGTGGGTGGGTGTGTGTGTGTGTGTGTGTTTTTACTCTTGAGAAACAACTGGGCTTTTCCATCCTTCACCGCCCACCATCCATACCACTCTCATCCCTCCTCGCTTGTCATTTCGTAACATGGCACATCACACGGCGTGACGCAAGTCATTCAGGGGGGTGTGCTGCTGGATCAGAAGTTATGTAAACAGATAGTGATTCAGCTGGCCTTATACATCACCTGCCCATGTGCCTTCCCTCGACAATCCATGCAGGGGGGGGTGTTGGACCACGGGGTGTTCACCCAGGGCAGAGGGCTGCTCCTGCGCGATTCAGCGATGCTCTTCATGGCTCTGCTGGTGATCTGCCTCATAGAGAGCGCCAACATCACCAACGACATCTCCAACTTCAACATCTTTAACATCGCCTTTGAGCTCATCAGGTGAGTGAGTGCGCCCAGTCCCCACATGCTTGTTCAAACCTTCATCAAGGGACAGCTTAGGCCCTCGATCGCTCTTAATGGCTCTGCTGGTGATCTGCCTTATAGAGAGCGACAACATCACCAACGACATCTCCAACTTCAACATCTTTGAGCAGGTGTGTGTGTGTGTGTGTGTGTGTGTGTGTGTGTGTGTGTGTGTGTGTGTGTGTGTGTGTGTGTGTGTGTGTGTCTGTGTGTGTGTGTGTGCGCGTGTGCGTGTGCGTGTGTGTGTGTGCGTGCGTGCGTGCGTGCGTGCGTGGGTGTGTGTGTGTTATTTTTTTGTCGCTGCCTCAAAACCCGTCTTCTCAGGTGCTTCGCTTGAGAGGCGTCTCCATAGTGGATTTGGCAAATTTAACCTCTTCTAATTTTGACATGCCTTAGTAATGTGCTTCGCCTGGCCACAGCTGCTTTCTGGTGACTCTGTCTGAACATCTCTCAACATACCCATCCTTGCACGTGTTCTTTCCTGGCAGTGGATACGGCAATGTGGGTCTCTCCCTGGGCTACACCTGTCCACCTGAAGCTGGCCCCAGCTGTGTCTCCCCTCCTTACAGCTTCTCTGGTGCGTCCTATCATATAAATTCCCCAAGTGCCTTCTCGGGTGCGTCATATCGTAGAATTTCCCAAAGTGCCTTCTCTGGAATTCCTGGTCCAAGGTGGTTCGTATTTTAGAATTCTCAAAAGCACCCCGCAGGCGCGGGGGAAATTCCTGGAACTAGGAGGTCCAGGCGATATTTTCAATAGGCTCCTGAAAACCATATTATGCCTCTCTCTCTTCTTCCGTCGAATCCCTCTGATTTCTACCCACAGGCGTGTGGGGCCCTTGGTCGAAGCTGGTGCTCGTGCTCATGATGCGGCTCGGAGTTTTTCTCTCAGATGACTCGGAACAAAGTCATGTTTCTCTCTCCTTTCCACGTACCCCTTTTGCTCCCCACAGGCGTGTGGAGCCCTTGGTCCAAGCTGGTGCTCGTGCTCGTGATGCTGCTGGATGTTTTTTCTTCTGGTTGCACGTCAGTAATAGGTCATGTTTCCCTCTCTCCTTTCCCCGTACCCATTTTCTCCCCACCTTGCAGGTGTGTGGAGCCCTTGGTCCAAGCTGGTTCTCGTGCTGGTAATGCTGCTGGGCCGCCACAGAGGCCTGCCTGACAACATCGACGCTGCCATCTCCCTCCCCAACCGCAACCAGTTCATTCCTGAACCACCTGCACTGCCTGCCCCACCTTCTGCATCTGCTGTATCTGCCGTCCCTGTTGTCGCACCTTGCATGCGTTCCACGTGTGCACCAAGGTGACTGAAGAGTCGCTGCCATCCCCATCCCAGGCCTGCACTAGTTCCTCCCTCCCCCGGCCGTACCACCCTCGGCCGCACGTCCCCCTCCCACCCAGGTTGCTCCTCCCTGCCGCTCCTCCCCTGGTCTCTCCTCCCCTAGTCGCCCCTCCCCTAGTCGCCCCTCCCCTAGTCGCCCCTCCCCTAGTCGCCCCTCCCCTAGTCGCCCCTCCCCTAGTCGCCCCTCCCTAGTCGCCCCTCCCCTAGTCTCCCCTCCCCTAGTCGCCCCTCCCCTAGTCGCCCCTCCCCTAGTCGCCCCTCCCCTAGTCGCCCCTCCCCTAGTCGCCCCTCCCCTAGTCGCCCCTCCCCTAGTCGCCCCTCCCCTAGTCGCCCCTCCCCTAGTCGCCCCTCCCCTAGTCGCCCCTCCCCTAGTCGCCCCTCCCCTAGTCGCCCCTCCCCTAGTCGCCCCTCCCCTAGTCCGCCCCTCCCCTAGTCGCCCCTCCCCTAGTCGCCCCTCCCCTAGTCGCCCCTCCCCTAGTCTCCCCTCCCCTAGTCGCCCCTCCCCTAGTCGCCCCTCCCCTAGTCGCCCCTCCCCTAGTCGCCCCTCCCTGAGTCGCCCCTCCCCTAGTCTCCCCTCCCCTAGTCGCCCCTCCCCTAGTCGCCCCTCCCCTAGTCGCCCCTCCCCTAGTCGCCCCTCCCCTAGTCGCCCCTCCCCTAGTCGCCCCTCCCCTAGTCGCCCCTCCCCTAGTCGCCCCTCCCCTAGTCGCCCCTCCCCTAGTCGCCCCTCCCCTAGTCGCCCCTCCCTAGTCCCCTCCCCTAGTCGCCCCTCCCCTAGTCGCCCCTCCCTAGTCGCCCCCCCTAGTCGCCCCTCCCCTAGTCACTCCTCCCCTAGTCGCCCCTCCCCCGGCCGCTCCCCTCCCCCACCGCTACTCACCTCAGCCTCCCCCCCCTTCCCTCCCCCTCTCCCCCGCTCCACCAACCACTCCACCTTCCACATCTGCTGCATCTGCTCTGCGACCACGTGCTACCAACCAACGAAACGGTGTCTTGCTTCTGGAGGTGGAGAACGGACATAGAAAGTTCCTGCTTTGTTGCTCCAATCGCTTCACTCAGACTTGGGTTCTCCGACTGTCATGCTCCGAGGCGCTGCTTCTTTATCTTCGGTTTCCAATTTCCAATCTACATAATCGAACTAGCTGAGTGCTGATTACTTTGGTTAGTCGCTGCTAGTAATCCAAATGCAAATACAGTATCAACACGTCTCACATATGATCATACAATGCATGCAGAAAGAACCTCTAGTCCATCCGAGGGTGTGAACCGCTGTGCTTTGAGCTGACTCAAAATGTATCCATTGGTCATGTAGCACATGCGCCACCTCTAGTTTCCCAGTCAATGGTTTATCATCGCGGCGCCACCCACTCGCCCTCACCACCTCACACAGCCCGTCAAACCTCTCCCCCCCCCCCCCCCCCCCCCCCCTCTCCGCCCCTCCTTGCCATGCGCTCATGAGGCATGCGCCCTCCCATCCCTCCCTCACTTCCTCTTATTCACTGATTCCAGCAGCAGTCGCCAGTCTCCCGGCCGCGCCAGCAAGCCATCGTCACAGCGCCACCCGTTCGCTCTCAGCGCCTCACACAACCCATCAAACCCTCCCGCCATGCGGCCAAAGGAAGCATGCAGCATCTCTAGCTTCTCGAAAGAGGCTAACTCGGCTGCAGTTGCACTTGCACCCCTCATTTCCTCTTCTCCTCAGGTGCCAGCAGCAGCCACCAATCGCCCACCGGCCGGGCCACCATACGAAGCATGCAATACCTCTATCTGATTTCCCCAAGAATGCAAAGGCTGCTGCACTCGCACCCCTCACTTCCTCTTCTCCTCAGGTGCCAGCAGCAGCCACCAATCGCCTCCCTCATTTCGAAGTATTATAGCTTGGAAGATGGTTGACCGAGGCAGTTCAGAGGCGAGAGGTTTGTCCTCTTGTGGATTTTCAGCTTTTTCGTCCAATAGAATTCAAGTTAATCACATGCCATTTTTGTCCCCCTAATGTTCCTAAGAAGTTGCACCCTGCCTTTAAAGGCACAAGTGAGGGATTTTTGGGAGCTGGGGGTGCAATTTTCAGGTGGGGCAGTGCAAGTGAATCCAGCAGAGGCGAATTCGGCTTCACTTGCACCCCTCATTTCCTCTTCTCCTCAGGTGCCAGCAGCAGTCGCCAGTCTCCTGGCCGAGCCAACAAGCCATCGTCACAGCGCCACCCATTCGCTCTCAGCGCCTCACACAACCCATCAAACCCCGCAGCCATGCGGTCATACGAAGCATGCAGCACCTCTAGCTTCCCCAAGGAAGCGAATTCGGCTGCGCGGGCTTGGACGTGGGTGCGCGCTTGGGGTGCGAGAGAGTGGATGGTGGGGCAGAGGACGTGTGGAGAGAGGGTGCGGAGGTAGGCGGCTTGCAGGGCCGCTCTGAGGAAATCCCTTGGGAGTGCCCCCTCCTTCAACACTACCTGCATGGATGGTGGTTGCAGGGGTGAGAAGGCATGGGGATGAGAGGAGAAGGAATAGATGTGAGGGGAAGAGGAGAGCATGCAGCACCTTGATCTGCTTCCCCAAGGAGGAAAACTCGGCGGCGCGGGCTTGGACGTGGGTGCGCGCTTGGGGGGCGAGGGAATGAATGGTGGGGCAGAGGACGTGTGGAGATAGAGTGCGGAGGTAGGCGGCTTGCAGGGCCGCTCTGAGGAAGTCCCGAGGGACTGCTCCTTCCTTCAACACTACCTGCATGGATGGTGGGTAGAAAGAGTGGATGGTGGGGCAGAGGACGTGTGGAGAGAGCGTGCGGAGGTAGGCGGCTAGTAGGGCCGCTCGGAGGAAGTCCTTTGGGAGGGCCCCCTCCTTCAACACTACCTGCAAGAAGAATGGTGAGTGGTTGATAGGGGTGAGAAGGCAAGAGGTGTGGAGAGAGAGTGCGGAGGTAGGCGCCTTGCAGGGCCGCTCGGAAGAAATCCCAAGGAAGAGCTCCTTCTTTCAACACAACCTGCATGGTGAGTGCGTGGGGTGAGGAGGAATGGCGGTGTAACGAGGAGATTATTTAGTGGCAGGTGGATTGGAGGGCAGCCCGGAGGAAATCCCAAGGGAAAGCTCCTTCTTTCAACACAACCTGCATGGTGAGTGCGTGGGGTGAGGAGGCATGGCGATGGAACGAGGAGATCAATCTAGCGGCAGGCAGGTGGATTGGAGGGCAGCCCGGAGGAAGTCCCGAGGGAGAGCTCCTTCTTTCAACAGAACCTGGATGGTGAGTGCGTGGGGTGAGGAGGCATGGCGATGGAACGAGGAGATCAATCTAGCGGCAGGCAGGTGGATTGGAGGGCAGCCCGGAGGAAGTCCCGAGGGAGAGCTCCTTCTTTCAACAGAACCTGGATGGTGGGTGACAGATAGGGGTGGGTGGGAAAGCAAGAGGTGAGAATCTAGATGCAGACAGCTTGCAGTGGGCAGAAAGAGTGGATGGTGGGGCAGAGGGGGTGTGGGGCGAGCGTGCAGAGGTAGGCGGCTTGTAAGACCGTCGTCACTCATGGTTGGAAGGGCAGCAGCACTAAGAGAAAGTGAGGCGCCTCAAAAAAAGTGGGGCAAGCGTGCAGAGGTAGGCGGCTTGTAAGGCCGCTCGGAGGAAGTCCCGAGGTAGAGCCTCCTCTTTCAACACAGCCTGGTGAGTGACAGGGGTGAGAATGCATGGAGGTAAGAGGAGAAGGAATGGATGTGAGAGGAAGAGGAGAGGTAGTCTGCTTGGAGCGCCGCACAGAGGAAGTCCCGAAGTAGATCCCTCTTCTAGCTCAACTTGCATGGTGCTCTTTCAAGAGAGGGATCTCTTTCGAGACTTCCTCCGTGCGGCGGCGTGACACCCTTAACACAACCTGCATGGTGAGTGTCAGGGGTGGAAGGGACGGGATTGAGACGAGGAGGCACACATGCGGAGGTGGCCGGATTTGTAAGGCCGCCCGGAGGAGGTCCCTAGACAGATCCCTCTTTCAACACAACCTGCAGGCCCCCACACATTCCCGTTTCTCCCACCCACCCACGCACACAGATGCACACAGCATGAACCTGCATCTGCCCTGTACGCTCGTCCTGTCAAAGGAGGTACTTCTCTCCTCGGCATATCCCATCCCAGCCACCGCCTCTGCCTCCTCCCACTGCACATCACAGCACAGCACACCTGTGTGCCTCACTCCCATCTCAAAACACAAGCATGCGCAGCAGCACACGCACCTGCATCTGCCCCGTACGCTCGTCCCGCCCAAGCAGGTACTTCTCTCCTCGGAATATATCAGCCATGGTCTCAGCCTCCCGCTCTGTGTGCGCCACTGCGGCCAAGGGCACCCCAAATTCGATCCAGTTCTCACTCCCTGTGCCGGGAAGGGGTGGAGGAGACGCCTGGGAAAGGGGACGCGGAGAAGGGGCGGGGGAGGGGAACGGGTGGAGAGGGGGGAATGAGGGGGTTGAGAGGTCTCTTTTTGCGCCACTGCTGCCAAGGGCACTCCGAACTCGATCCAGTTCTCACTGCCTGTGCCTGGACGAGGAGGGGGAGAGGCCTGGAAAGGGGAGGAGGGGAGGGGGTTCGGGTGGAATGGGAGTAAGGGAGTGTTGAGACGTCTGTCTGTGTGAGCCACTGCTGCCTACTTGCCAAGGGCACTCCGAACTCAATCCAGTTCTCGCTACCTGTGCCGGGGAGAGGTGGAGGGGACGCCTGTGAAGAGAGAAAGGGGAGAAGGAGGGATGAGATCTCTCTGTGTGAGTGAGGCACTGCAGCTAAGTGGCACTTGTAACGCACATGCAATGCACATGCACCATACATACATGCACCACACATACATCACACATGCACCACACCAGAGATACCTTGGGCGAAAATATCGATTTGAGGGGCGGCAGAATGGGTTCCTGGGAGTTGACTTCGATGACACCTGGCACCCTGCCATTGGCCACGTACTCTGCCAGGACAATATCTGGGGAAAGAACAGTGGTAGAAGAGAGCACAGGGGAAGCAGAGAGGACAGCGCAGCGGAGCAAGCTACTTAGACAGAAACAGGTGAAGGAGGGAACTAATTGAGTTGTGCTTACAGCGACCGTCGTGCCTTACAGCTCAAAGACACGACGGTCGCTGCTCTGGCGAATGTTTTTGGGGCGCCTCAAACTTTTTGAGATGATTTTTGAGGCGCCTAAAAAACAATTGTGGTTACAGCTCAAAGACATGACATGACAATAGCTGCTCTGGAAGTAACTATCTGCTTCTGAATCCACTGGATTGAATGCTTGTGAGGCTTCCTGCAAGCAAGTACTTATTTTACCTGCTCTGAAGGGGTTGAGCGTCCTGAGTTGAACGGCCTTGTACGAGCGGTAGTTGCAAAACAGGTGGGCGGCGGACAGCAGGCCATGAGTTGCCCACAGTAGAGGGCCCCGGGTGCCCACGTGAGGAGCAACGACGATGCCTAGTGCCATCCCCAATGTCTTGCTCACCATGCCCTGTGCCTCTGCGCGTGCTAGCACCTGAGGGGAGAGGAAGAGGAGGAACAGTCAGAGAAAACACACAAATGGTTGGGTTCGGACAGCAGGGCGTGTGTTGCCCAGAGTAGAGGACCCCTCGTGCCCACGTGAGGAGCAATGGCGATACCCAGGGCCATGCCCAATGTCTTGCTCACCATGCCCTGTGCCTCTGCGCGTGCTAGCACCTGTGGGGAGAGGAAGGGGAGGAGCAGAAAGTGAAGTACAATCACATGGGTGGGCCGGACAGCAGGGCATGCGTGGATCAGCCACAGCAGAGGACCCCTGGTGCCTACGTGAGGAGCAATGGCGATGCCTAGAGCCATCCCCAATGTCTTGCTCACCATGCCTTGTGCCTCTGCCCGCGCCAAGACCTGGGGGGAGATGAAAAGGAGGAACAGTCAGAGAAAGCACACGAAAGGTTCGGTTCGGACAGCACGGCATGCGTCGCACACAGCAGAGGGCCCCGGGTGCCCACGTGTGGAGAGATGGCGATACCCAGGGCCATCCCCAATGTCTTGCTCACCATGCCCTGTGCCTCTGCACGTGCTAGCACCTGTGGGAGAGGAAGGCAGGGTGGAGTGGAAGGGAGAACACGGGGAGCGTAATGAGAGGAGCACAGCACCGGGCCTATTGTGCCCATGTGTGGGGCGATGGCGAGGCCTCATGCCATTCCAATTATCTTGCCCTGTCTTTGAGGCGCCTCAAAAGTAATGACGCCTACTGCTATCTCCAATGTCTTGCTCGATGCTCACCATGCCCTGTGCGGCTGTGCTTCTGCGCGCACACACCAACACTCGGGGTGGTTGGGTTGGGGAAGAAGAAGGGGGATGAAAGGCTGACGAGTTAAGACATGTGACTCGTGAACCTGAAAACCATAAGAGCCGCTTACTTCCATTCCCAGCACACGCCTATAAAAGCACCGATATAAATGTTAGGCCTTTTTTGAAGGCTTTCTGCAATTTGAACCCATACAACCCCAGCCAGGATTATAGAAGGTAAGAAAGTCCAAGGAGGGAGCATATCCCCCCTCCTGGCCCCATTGGCTCCCAAGACAGCGTTGAATCTCACCTCGGCAAAGTTTCTTCTGCCTGCCAGCCCGGCATAAAACCGGTTTCTCATGGCACTCTGCACGAGGCTCGAGGCAGAGAACCCCGCCCCGGCAGCGGCGGCCAGCTGAACGAAGTACTGCGGGAAGGTGGCCGTGAGGAGCTCGAGGGAAGCGGAGAGATTCTCAACGAGGTCGGAGTGAGGGAATGTCCCTCAACAGGCCCTCTCACCTGCCCACATCGGCAATCTCACTTGCTCGCATCGGCACTCTCACCTGCCCGACCTAAGGTGCTGCCTTACCTCGGCGAAATTTCTTCTGCCTGCCAGCCCGGCGTAGAACCGGTTTCTCGTGGCGCTCTGCACGAGGCTGGAAGCAGAGAACCCTGCCCCGGCTGCAGCGGCCAGCTGGACGAAGTACTGCGGGAAGGTGGCTGTGAGGAGCTCGAGGGAGGCGGAGAGGTTCTCAAAGAGGTCGGAGAGCAGGCGCGAGCGCTTGGGGGAGACGTCGAAATGGCGGCCGAACTGGGAGAGCGTGACTTTTGCAGCGTAGCCCAGCCCGTCTTTTAGGACCCAGTTGACCGCGGCTGCTGCTGGGATGGCGCCCTTGCCCAGCCCCACTGCGTACAGCATTGCCTGGAGAGGCGAGGAGGGAAGAGAAAGTGGGAAGAGAGGGAGGAGAGACGAATGGTTCCAGGTTGAACTGGGAGAGCGTGACTTTGGATTCTTTCAGCACCCAGTTGACCGCGGCTGCTGCTGGGATGGCGCCTTTTCCCAGCCCCACCGCGTACAGCATTGCCTGCAGGAGGGAGAGAGGGAAGAGAGGGAGGGAAGCGAGAGAGGGAAGAGAGAAAGGGAGGGAGAGAGGGAAGAGAGGGAGGGAAGCGAGAGAGGGAAGAGAGAAAGGAAGGGAGAGAGGGAAGAGAGGGAGGGAAGCGAGAGAGGGAAGAGAGAAAGAGAGAGAGAGAGAGGGAAGAGAGGGAGAGAGGGAAGAGAGGGAGGGAAGCGAGAGAGGGAAGAGAGAAAGGGAGGGAGAGAGGGAAGAGAGGGAGGGAAGCGAGAGAGGGAAGAGAGAGGGAAGAGAGGGAGGGAAGTGAGAGAGGGAAGAGAGAAAGGGAGGGAGAGAGGGAAGAGAGGGAGGGAAGCGAGAGAGGGAAGAGAGAAAGGGAGGGAGGGAGAGAGGGAAGAGAGGGGGGAAAGAGAGGGAGAGAGTGTGGTTGTGTGACGTGACTGTGACTGATCCCGTGTCCTACCAGGATAAAGAATGCAGTCGGGCTCCAGGGTGGGCGGCAAGGGCGGCAGCAGCTAGGAAGGAGGAGAAATACGCGCGACGGAACGCGTGGGTGGGCTTCCACGCCCTTGCAGTCGAGACATACGGCTGTCCTTCCCCGGGGGTGATGGCTTACCTGCGGCAGTGCGCGGAGCTAGCGGCCAAGCTGCGATACAACTCAGCACCTACCTCATACGAGGCAGCCAAGCTGCTGACGGAGTACCGCCAGCACTGGAGTGTCTGCCTCCAGGGAGCGCAGGCCAATGCCCTCCGCTCCAAGACCAACGAGGCCTTGGCAGCGGACGAGCTCGGCATGCAGGGCCCCATCGTCCCTCTTAGCGAGGGACAGCTGCACCAGCTGATTGAGCCCCCATTCGGCCAGTAGGGTCGGACAGAGGGGGCCGGGAGTGGGAAGGAGTAGGTGTGATAGGTAGAACTGTGGTCTGGTTGTTTGTCTTACTTGTGTTTGTACCTTCCTTGTAACACCCACCGTGATTAATGCAAGGACCGTTCGAGGGGGAAGGGATGCAACATGTTGAACTGGGAGGGCGTGACCTCGGCTGCATAGCCCAGCCCGTCCTTTACCACGAAGGACCGTTTGAGAGAAGAGAGAGAAGGAAGGGCTTCAGGTGAGGAAAAGGACGGAGAGAGGAGGGCAGGGGAGAGAAAGGTTCTTAGACATAGCAAACAGACCTCAATTGAAGGAGCCTGCGACATAGAAACGCGTCTCACCTGCGTTGTAAGCACGTGGTTCATTTCGCTCGCCACTGTTTGCCGCATGCGCCACACTGTGTACTCCATATAGTCAGGAGTCACACTATCGGGATAACCCTCTGGTAACATCCATCTCACCACCGCCGCTTTCACTCCCCTCACCACCCGCGCAACCATATCCCCCCCTCTGCTCCGCTCATCCTCCTCCCCCGCTAAAACCCTACCCCCTGCGGCCTTCCCATTGCCATTCCCCGTGCTTGTAACGATCCCCTTTACAACGCGTCCGTGTTCCTCCTCGTACGCGTTAGCAGCTTCCTCGCCTTCCAATTCAACTTCCACCCTTAGCTGGCCCTTCCCCCTATTGCTGCTTGCGCTGCTGCTGCTGCTGCTGTCTCCGCCAATCAGGCGCCGCCACCTGTCACCGTGGAGCTCCCATATCACATCCTGGTCGGCCGCGGGCGCGCCGGTCGCAGGGGGAGGCGCAGGGCGGCGGAGAAGCGCGGATTCCGCGCGCGCTAGCGGGGAGACGAGCAGCGGAAGCATGATAAGCAGAAATGCGGAGAGTGATAATGCGCTCGGAAACGTGATTAGGCGGTTGTGGAATAGAGGAGAGAGGGCGTCGAGACGGGAGTTGGACCAATCAGAAAACAGCTTCAATAGGAACAAGTAACCATGTTCCTGCTGGTTACCACCTTGCCCTCCGCAACCTCCGTCGTTTCCATTATCCTCTCCTCCGCCTCCCCCTCCGCCTCCATCTCCCCCTCTTCCGCCGCCGCCCCCTCTCCCCCTTCCGTCATTACCCCCGCTTCCCCCCCGCCCGTCTCCGCTCCGCCATGCCAAGGCGTGCGCTTTGACCCGCGCGCCAGGAGCAGCGGATCGCGTTGCCTCCGCCAGTCGCAACTTCCCCGCAATTGACGGTCTTGCTGCTAGCCTTCCGTCTTGAGGCCCCGCAAAACCCGATGGTAACCTCGCGGTGACGACTCGAAATGGTCGACCAGCTGCTGGTCTTCTCCCTGTCCCCGCTATCGAGTCAATTTCGGCAGTTCGATACGCGCATTTGACAGGTGAGTACATTGTGCCGCTCCCGCGAATCGCCTTACCCTGAAAGGCGCCAAAGCGACGCGTTTCGTGCCCGTCATTCCCAAGGGCCGGAGCGCACGGCAGATGGCAGCACGATCGCATTGCAGCTGCCATTGCAGCACATTCAAACGGTAAAACACACACCCACCCACACACGCTCTCGCGTTACAGCAGCGCAGGCTTAGCAAATCGCGTCGCGTGTCTGGCCAATGGACGAGCAATTCACTGCTAGAAGTTCTACCCTACTCTTGCACACTGCAATGTGATGAATGGATATGATGTGACGTGGCAAAAAGTACATTTTGAGATCAGGCAGGAATGGCCCTTGTGCGGGTGAAAGGGTAAGCACGGAGAGCTCTGCGTTTGTATTGACTCGATTACAGGTACAGAAGAAACAAAGCACCACGTTTACTTTCTGTACTAACAGCTCTATGCAAAGACACAATATTTTAAAGAAGATGACAGAATCAACCACTTGGTCTCTGATGCAATGAAAGTCCAGGGGTCTGAAAGGAAGCATTACAAAATGTAGTCTCATCTCATCTCAACTGCCTCCACCTGTCATTACTTTTAGCCCAGCCCACGCGATCCCTGCCATGCCACATGATTTTTCCAACTGGTCTTGATTTGGTGCAACACTAAGACATTTGTTGGAAACAACTAACTTAAGCGCCTCTGTCGTGTTGAAACACCAAGACCCAAGCGAAGCAAAACACTATCGAAGCAAAACATTATCGAAGCACCAGCGAGTCAACCCTCAGAGGTTGAAGCAACTGTCGGAGGCTACGCGAAAGTCAAAGGTCAGCGACCTTTGACCTGACAAGTACAGCGCGGCAGCAAGGACACACGACTAACTCTTTACAGAGCAGTTGCCCGAGTCGTCACTGTATCGAACCGCAACAGCAACAGTAAAGTAGTTATAACTGTGTCTTTGAATATTCCCTGTATTCATATATAATCTTGTATCTCTTTGCTTTAATCAATCAACTTTGCCCTCATATACTAGCGCAAGGTGGTTCACAACTCTTCATTAAACGTTTCCGCTACTACATCAGTTCTACCCAGAGTTCACCCGTGCAAAGATCCTAAGGGCTATTTTCTCAGCCCAACATGGTATGAGAGCTATCAGGGGGGATTCAACTATCAAGACACCTACAACATCAGAAAACATGACTACTCAGAAGGAAAGGAGTTCCTCTATTGGTTCTCCCGGCACTACTCCTACTCCACCTCCTGCCTCTGGCCTACAGAGAGAGGAGGGTACGGCAACAAGACCCAGGGCAACATCCACCGAGACTCCCGCGAATCAACCTGCAGGCTTCGACCAGAGCATGATGGAGAAGTTTTTCTCCTTCATGTCCTTCTACGAGCAACACCAGCAATCGGCACCTGCGCAGTCACACAACAGCAACAACAACAACGACGTAACTCCAATGAGCCTTGATGGTTCATCCTACGCACGTGGAAATCAACAGCAGCAACCTACCTTTGCTCCGTACGAGCCCCACCGCGGCTCCGTCAGTTTTATGCCACAACCGCAGCCTGCACCTGGACAAGAGAAGACACTGGACGCGCTACAAGTTCAGTCACAGTTCGCGCACGTTTTGAAGTTGCAGACGTCAAGACCTTTCGACGGAAAGGACTTCTTTATCTGGTCATTCGAGCTCGAGCTGATGATGGAAGGCGCGCAAATCCTCGGCTTCTTCAACGGATCCCTGCCATACCCAACAAACGGCACACAGTACGAGAAGCAGCAGTACACCTATCAGTCAATGATGGCGTACACAATCCTACCGAGGAATATCACCCCGACTCGGCAACAGAATATACGGTCTTACCGGGGATACGGCAACTCCGCAGAACTCGCATACAGCCACTTGAAAAGCCTGTACCAAGCAACAGACAGCGTAAGTCAGAGTCGACTAATGGCGCAACTGACAACAGTCAAAATGAAACCAGGGGAAAAGGGGATGGCGTATATCAGTCGCTATCGCGAATTGCGCGACAAACTCCTTTGATGCGGAGGGTCGATATCTGAAGACGCCTCCGTGAGAGTCATCATTGGCGGCCTCGGTCCTCAATGGCGTGCCACAAAAGCCATTCTCTGAGCTCACGGAAGAATCTCCGAAGCAGCACTTTGCTCCGAAATTCATGCCGAGCAGCAAGACATGGACCTACAAGAAGAAAGGCACAAAAGGAAGACGTCAGTGTCAAATCATGATGTTCTGTAGGCTGTAGTGGGGTAGCCCATATGGGGTACACATTTCTAGGGTTGCATATTTGTACCACATTCCATTCCTTAGTGTCCCATTCTCGTTTCAGTTTTCTCATGGTATCGAGCAGGTTCCCTCCTGGGAACTGTGCCTAGGGCCCACCAAGTCGAAAGTTTTTTTTTCCAGCCCGGAGCGCGCTCAGCCCGAGTCGCGCTCCCGTCTCTGACTTCGTCGAGACGCCCTAGCGGCCAAGTCGCGCCGCCTTAGCGGCCCCTGATTCGTCGCCCTAGCGACCCCGTCGCCCTACCTACGGCCCCGGCCCCGTCGCCCTACCTGCGCCTCGGCCCCGTCGCCCTACCTGCGCCCCGGCCCCGTCGCCCTAACTGCGACCCTGGCCCCGTCGCCATACCTGCGGCCCCGGCCCTAGCCCCGTCGCCCTACCTGCGCCCCGGCCCCGGCCCCGTCGCCCTGCTTGCGACCCCGGCCCCGTCGCCCCACCTCCGACCCCGGCCCCGTCGCCCTACCTGCGCCCCGGCCCCGGCCCCGTCGCCCTACCTGCGTACCGGCCCCGTCGCCCTACCTTCGACCCGGCCCCGTCGCCCTACCTACGGCACCGCCCCGCCGCCCTACCTGCGGCCCAGCCGCCCTACCTGCGGCCCCACCGCCCTACTTGCGGCCCAACCGCCCTACCTGCGGCCCAGCCGCCCTACCTGCGGCCCAGCCGCCCTACCTGCGGCCCCGCCGCCCTCACCCGCGGTCCCTGCCGCCCTTACCTGCGGCCCCCGCCGCCCTTAATTGCGGTCCCAGCCGCCCTCACTTGCGGCCCCGCCGCCTTCCCTGCGGCCTCGTCATCTGCTGCAGCGCCTCCCGCCACCCGAGCCGCCCGAGCCGCCTCACCTAGCCGAGCAACCGACCGCCGCACCGCCGTACAGCAGCACAGCCGCGCCGCCCAGCAGCTGAGCAACCGGACAGCCGAGCAGCCGAGCCGCCCTGCAGCCGAGCCGCCCAGCAGCCGAGCAGCCGAGCCGCCCTGCAGCCGAGCCGCCCAGCAGCCGAGCCGCCCGGCAGCCGAGCCACCGTGCAGCCGAGCCACCGAGCCTCCGAGCCGCCCGAGCAGCCCCGTCCGGTAAGCACACCGACTCTGTCACTGCACTGCCCTTTCCCTACTGTGTGCGCTGCTAGTCTACTGTTGTCATGGCTACCCCTAGTGTCCTCGCTTTTGACGCCGAGGGTCGAGCCATTGACTTTGACGTCTAGGTAGATGACCTGCAGCTGCTCTTACAGTGCGATAGGGCAGACGGTCTCTCCCTCTTTGACCTCACCTCTGGTGCCTCTCCTGCTCCTGCTGCTGATGCTGACGCCACTGTTCGCTCACAGTGGGCCACGCGCGATGCTGCTGCACGTCTTGCTGTGCGTCGCCACCTCCCTACCTCTGAGCGTGCGCACTTTAGTCAGTACAAGAGTGCTCAGACTTTGTACGACGTTGTAGTTGCACGCTACTCCTCCCCTGCCACTGCTGCACTGAGCCGTCTCATGCTACCGTACCTCTTCCGTGACCTTGCTGCCTTTCCCACAGTCGCTGACCTCATCACGCACCTCCGCACTAGTGACACTCGCTACCGCGCTGCGCTTCCTGCTGACTTCTGCGCCAAGAACCCCCCCCCCATGTACATCACTCTCTACTACGTACTCACTCGCCTCCCTGACTCTCTTCGCGTAGTCAGGGACCACTTCCTCTCAGTCTGTCCCACCACTCTCACTGTTGACCTCCTCGAGAAGTCCCTCCTAGCGGCCGAGAAGAGCATAGTCGCTGTAGGGGCCTCTCTTGGTGACCCGCGCACCCCCATCTTTGAGGGGTGTTCCCCCTCCCTCCTTCTGCCCTCTGTTGCCTCTGCTGCTACGGCCGACCTCCTTGGTCTTGAGTCGGTCGGTGCGGCGTCTGCCCCTAGCGGGAGACGCCGCTCTGGCAAAGGCAAGGGGGGCACGTGCACTGGAGGAGCGAGCGGGGACGGTGGAGGTGGAGGTGGAGGCGGCGGGGGGAGTGGGGGTGGCCGTGGGAGTGGAGGTGGGGGTGGAGGTGTCGGTGGCGGCAGTGGAGGCGGAGGCGGCGGCGGCGGTGGCGGTGGGAGCGGAGGTGGCGGAGGTGGCGGCGGTGGAGGAGGCGGCGGAGGCGGCGGTAGTAGCGGAGGCGGCGGAGGCGGCGGAGGCGGCGGGGGTGGCAGTGGAGCTGGTCGCGGGTCTACGCAGAGGAGTGGCTACGGTGGTGGTCCGCGCCATAGCAGCAGCGCGGTAGTGAGACCCTGTCCCCTCAGCAGCTCCGTGAGTGGTACACTGCACGCCAGAGGGGTGGGGGCTTTGATCCGTGCACCTACGTCCTGCGCACCGGCGACCGTGCGGGTGAGCAGTGTGGGGGTGCGCACCCCACCTAGCGCTGCTTTGGCCGCCTGACGGACGCGTGGCGTCACCAGTTAACGGAGGCCACAGAGATCCCTCGCTAGGGCGAGCTGTCTAGGGCGGGAGTTGCCATCTATGATCTTGATTTTGATGCTATCCTTTCTGCCATGTATGCTGTGTCTATTAGTGATGAGGGTGACTGTTACCGGTGTCTCCCGCCCGACCCGGGCATTGAGACTGCTGCTCTAGGTACTGGTGAGGCTGCTGCTCTAGGTGCCAGTGAGGCTGCTGCTCCAGGTGCCAGTGCGTCTGCGTCCTTAGGTGCTGGTGAGTCTGCGCTCGCAGGTACCGCGTCGGCTTCGGCCTCCCTCACCTTCACACTTGACTCAAAGACTTCTCGCTCCTTCTTTCGAGACCGCACCACACTCACGCCGCTTGGTCGGCCGGTTGCAGTCTCCCTGGCAGACCCCTCTGGGGGTCCTGTCCTTTCTCACTTCTTCACTGTCCTCCCGTGTCCGGCGGCCCCCCTCTGGCACCTTGTCTGGTCTTTACCTCCCTTCGTTCTCTACGAACTTGGTGAGTGGTGTTGACCAACAGGATGCGGGGGTTCACCAGTTTACTCCTGCAAGTCAGCGGGTGACCCACTGCTCGGACGCTCGCACGGGCCGGCACCTGGCCACGTTTACGCGTCCGCCGGGGTCGAGCCTGTACACCCTGACCACTGAGTCTCCTCCTGTCCCTGCGTCTGGCCAGGTAGCTGCGTCGGGTCAGGTGTTTGCTGCAGCGTCCAGGTCTGGTCCTGAGTCTGCCCCCTGCTCGTGTCGCCTCCTGTCTCACGAGACTCTTCTCTGGCACCACCGCCTTGGTCACCCCTCCCTGCCTCGTCTCCGAGGCATGGCCTCCCGTGTCCTTGTCTCTGGTCTTCCCCGGTCCCTCCCTCCCCTTCCTCCGGGGCCTGGCCCCACCTGCGTCCCCTGTGTCGAGGGGCGGCTGCGGGCTGCCCCTCACTCCTCTCAGTTTCCCCCGACAGAGGCCCCGCTGCAGACGCTTCACATGGACGTGTGGGGCCCGGCCCGCGTCCGTGGACAGGGTCACGAGCGCTACTTCCTGCTGTTGGTTGACGACTACTCGCGTTACACCACAGTCTTCCCCTTGCGCAGCAAGGGTGATGTCACTGAGGTGTTGATCGACTGGATCCGCGCAGCTCGTCTCCAGCTCAGGAGGAGCTTCGGCTCGGACTTTCCTGTTCTGCGTCTGCACTCTGACCGAGGTGGAGAGTTCTCCTCTCGCCTTCTGCGAGCCTACTGTCGTGCGCGAGGCATCCGCCAGACCTTTACGCTTCCGGACTCTCCACAGCAAAATGGGATTGCTGAGCGCCGCATTGGCATGGTCATGGACGTCGCCCGTACGTCCATGATGCATGCGGCTGCCCCCCATTTTCTGTGGCCGTTTGTGGTTCGGTACGCGGCGCATCAGATCAACCTTCACCCCAGGGTCTCCATGCCGGAGACCTCCCCAGCTTTGCTGTGGACGGGAAGGTAGGCGATGCTTCTGCGTTCCGTGTCTGGGGATCTCGGGCGTTTGTCCGCGACTTGTCTGCGGACAAGCTGTCCCCTCGTGCTACTCCTTGCGTCTTCCTGGGCTTCCCCCCTGACGCGCCAGGGTGGCAGTTCTACCACCCCACCTCTCGTCGTGTTCTGTCCTCCCAGGACGTCACGTTTGACGAGTCGGTCCCCTACTACTACCGCCTCTTCCCCTACCGCACTCCGTCCCTCCCCCCGCCAACGCTCTTCCTTGTGCCAGGTCCCCCCCCAGTAGACCCCCTCCCCCCTCAGGGTCCTGCCCCTTCAGGTGTGTCCCAGGTAGACGCAGTCGAGCTGGAGGTGCTGCGGGTACTGGAGGTTCTGTTGCTACTGAGGGAGCTGGTGCCGCGGGTCCCGGAGGTGCTCGTACTGGGAGTACTGGAGCTGCTGGGCCTGCGGGTACTTCTGGAGCTGGAGCTGCTGCGGGTGTTGGCACGGAGGCTACTGCTGTCAGTCCTGGAGGCGGTCCTGCTGGGGGTACTACTGGTGCTGCTGGAGGTACTGGAGCTGGAGCTGCTACTGGTGCTGGTGCTGCCACAGGGGGTGCTGGTGCTGTCCCTGCTGTGTCTGGAGTCGCCGCGCGGCCTTGGCCGTACTTCGTTCCGCTCCTTCAGCAGGTTCTTGGTCTCCCGTCTTCTACTAGTCCTCCTCCTCCCTTAGAGTGTCCACAGCCTGTCCCGTTGCAGTTACAGTTACAGCCGGCCTCCCCACTGCCTGCTCCGTCTCCCTACACTGGTCGTACTGGAGGTCTTGCTGAGCGTCATGAGCCTGCGTCTCGCCCTGCGTCGCCTGTCCGTATTGCTCGCACTAGTGGTCACAGTTCGCTCAGCGTCCTCCTCCTGTCCCTGGCACGCACCGGATGTCTCGGCGTCCGTCCACTGCTCCTCTGCGTGCCCCTTTGCCTTCTCCTCCTAAGTCTTCTCTTCCTGCTCTTGCCGACCCGGAGTCGGACTCTCTTCGTGCTGCCAGTCCTACTGTCACGCGTCTCCTTGCTACTGTCGTCATTGACCCTTCTTTTGAGTCCACTGCTGCGTCTGCCCTAGTTGCTGAGCTCGTCGACTTTGCTGCTCGCTGTCGTCTAGACTACGCTGCTAGTCTTCGCGCTGAGTCTGAGTCTGTCTGTCCTCCGTCCGTCGGGGGTGAGTGTGCCCTTGGCACGGACGTCCTTGAGGACAAGCAGGAGGAGTTCCAGTGTCTGGCTGCTGCTTCACCTCATCTCGTGTCCGTACTCCTTACCCCTGAGGGAGACCCGGATGCACTTGACATCCCGACTCCGCGCTCTTACGCGGAGGCCGTAGAGGGTCCCTACTCCTCTCAGTGGCAGGCAGCTATGGATGCAGAGATGGCTTCCCGGAAGTCCACAGGCACCTACGTTGACGCGGTTCCCCCACCTGGGGCGAACATCGTCAGTGGCATGTGGATCTTCAGGGTGAAGCGGCCGCCAGGTTCTCCACATGTCTTCAAGGCGCGGTACGTGGCTCGTGGCTTCAGTCAGCGGCAGGGAGTTGACTACTTTCAGACCTTCTCTCCCACCCCGAAGATGACCACTCTTCGAGTGCTGCTGCACATTGCCGCTCAGCGCGACTACGAGCTTCACTCTCTTGACTTCAGCACTGCTTTCTTGCAGGGTAGCCTGCACGAGGAGATCTGGCTGCGCCGCCCACCTGGCTTCACTGGGACTTTTCCTCCTGGCACCCAGTGGAGCCTCCGGCGGCCAGTCTACGGTCTCCGCCAGGCACCGCGTGAGTGGCACAACACACTGAGGACTACGCTTGCGGCTCTTGGGTTTGCTCCCTCTACTGCCGACCCGTCGCTGTTTCTGCGCACCGACACCTCTTTGCCGCCGTTCTCCATCCTCGTGTACGTCGACGACTTGATCTTTGCCACTGCTGACACTGCTGGACTCGCCCACGTGAAGTCCGAGCTGCTGAAGAGACACACGTGCACAGACCTGGGTGAACTGCGCAGCTACCTTGGCTTGCATATCACCCGGGACAGAGCACGCCGCACCATTACCCTGACTCAGTCACACATGGTGCAGCAGGTCCTTCAGCGCTTCGGCTTCACGTACTCCTCGCCTCAGGCCACTCCTCTGCCTACTCGCCACTCGCTCTCAGCTCTGCCTTTGGATGAGTCCGTAGAGTCGAGTGGCCCGTACCCAGAGCTTGTTGGCTGCCTCATGTACCTGATGACCTGCACTCGACCTGACCTTGCATACCCTCTTAGCATTCTTGCACGCTATGTTGCTCCTGGGAGACACAGACCGGAGCAAATGGCTGCAGCGAAGAGGGTGTTGCGCTACTTGTGCAGTACGTCGGGCATGGGGCTAGTGCTTGGAGGGCAGAGTCCAGTGGTCCTCACTGGGCACGCAGACGCTTCTTGGGCTGACGACCAGGCTACACAGCGGTCGTCACAGGGTTACACCTTCAGCCTTGGTTCCGGCTCTGTTTCGTGGAGGGCTACTCGCTCGTCTTCCGTTCTCGGCTCCAGTTGTGAGGCTGAGATCTACGCAGGAGCCATGGCTGCTCAGGAGCTTCGCTGGCTCACCTACCTGCTGACTGACCTCGGAGAGCCACCTCGTTCTCCTCCAGTGCTGTACGTAGACAACAAGGCCATGCTGGCCTTGTGTCGGGAGCAGCGTCTGGAGCACAGAACGAAGCACATTGCTCTCCGCTACTTTCTTGCTCGTGAGCTGCAGCAGCATGGTCAGTTGCGACTTGCGTACGTGGCCTCTGAGGCCAACACTACTGATATCTTCACTAAGGCACTTGCGCCTTGTGATCATCAGCGCTTCTGTACTCAGCTTGGTCTTGTGCCTGCCTTGCCTCACTTGCTCACTTCTTGACCTTGCTTATACTGTCACATATATATACTCCTGCTCTTGCTCATTTAGCCTTTTATGTATATATGTGCTCCTGCATGTGGACTGGCCTTCTGGCCTTGAACTTGTGCTCGGAATGTGTGGTGACTTTGTGATCCACCCTGAGCTTTGCTTTGTTTTGCTTGACTGGTCTTGTGACCCCTTGTTCTCCCCCACTTTGCCTATGGGGGTGTGTCAAATCATGATGTTCTGTAGGCTGTAGTGGGGTAGCCCATATTGGGTGCACATTTCTAGGGTTGCATATTTGTACCACATTCCATTCCTTAGTGTCCCATTCTCGTTTCAGTTTTCTCAGTCAGCACCGGAATTTGCTTTCCACACTCAGCGATGCTACAGCAACAACAACAACCGACAACAACCAAAGCCTGTACCTCCGTTCTGCCATATTTGCAAGACGTCAGGACACCCACGCACACACTACTCGAATCGACAACAGTCAACTCCACCGCAACGGCAGCTTCGACCCTCAAGCAGCCAAGTGGCATCGACGAAGGCGAACCCCACGAGTCAGTCGCAGCCTTCAACAACACAATCTGCACAAGGAGCAAGAAACATCGTCAGCTGTATGGCAAAACTGACCGACTCTTGCATCACCGAGTCACCGCCGCACTACTCACCGGAAGAGCAACTCGACAACATCACACCTTGCCGCGAGTCACTCCAACCGAACCCGACGTACGCAGCCATCGCCCAAAGTGAGCCATCCGGGAAGGACACTTGGTTCTTGGACAGTTGCTGCGGGCAGCACACGTGCTCTTCGGGACGTTTCGTTCAGCGCGAGCACCAACTTCAACGCGAAGTCGTCATTACCGTCGCCAACAATCAGAACCTGCGCACACGACAAGGCGTGGTTCAACTTCAGTCAAGAGAGACAAATGTTATACTGCAGATGTCAAAGGTATTAATCGCAGAGGGACTCGGCTACAACTTACTGAGCGTCAGCCAGCTGATGGCGAAAGGCATCCACTTTGAAGCAGATAGCACCACTCAGGAGTTCAAGTTGTACAACGGAAGAGGAGGTCTCTACATCGGCAAGGCAGTCCTGAAGTACAACGTCTTTGTCCTCGACTTCGTCCCAAACCTTGGCACAGCTGACAGCGACGGGATCGTCACCTTCACCTCCTGGACACATCCACCAGATCTTGACCCCAACTTCAGCCCCGAAGGATTCTGGTACTCGCACACCATTCCTGAAGCAGAAAGAACAAGAGCGTTAGCAACAATACAACATTCGGCAGAAGCAGAAACAACATTCGGCAGCAGCAGAGATAACATCGGCAGCAGCAGAGACAACACCGGCAGCAGCAGAGACAACATCGGCAGCAGCAGAGACAACAACAACAGCAGTGGCAACAACGACACCAATCGCTGGTCCTTCAACGGCACCAATCTTCATTGACGATATATCACCAACACCCGCACAGCAGCTAACTCCGACTCAACGAGAAGTCCACCGAAGCGCCAACTTCACCGCCGGTTTCTACTCCAACTCCGACATGTATCGACGCTCACCCGGACATCGCGCCACCGAAGGAACTTGGCACGCAAGAATGGGTCACCCAAGCAACACGGTGTTAAATAACACGATAAGAGCAGGCGTGCTCGACAAGGACTCTCTACTCCTAACTGACGGTAGAGAACTTCAGCGAGCCCGTGGAACATGCTTCACCTGTCCCGAAGCTGACCTACCGCATCAACCGTTCGTGCCTCACCACAACCCAAGCGCACCAGCTTACGCGCCACTCGAGAAGGTGCACAGCGACATCCTGTACAACCGCGAGCCTTGACAAAACGCGTACAATTACACCATCACCTTCATTGACGCAGCCACTCGATACGTCTGGCACCTAAATCTTCCAAGCCGCGACATGGCCTTCGAAGCCTTTGTCGCCTGGCTTCCAGTAGCAGAACAAGAATCCGGAGTAAAACTCAAGAGCTTCCAGTCAGACGGAGGGGGAGAATACACCTCACAGAGGTTCAAGGAGTACTTGGCAGAGAGAGGAATCAAGCGACTCATCTCTCTCCCCTACGCCCATCAACAGCAGGGTGTAGCAGAAAGGATGAACAGGACCCTCCAGAACACCATGCGCAAGCTGCTACGTGGCATGCACCTGCCCAACCACCAGTGGCCCGAAGCAATGGACCACGCCGTCATGCTGCACAACTTGCTCTCGTCATCATCGCTCCCGAACAACGCATCACCGCATCTGCTGTGGACAGGAAAACTGGGCAGCACAAAAATGTTGAGAGTCTTCGGCAGCATGGTACAGTACCGACCCCCATCTGCACGAGCTGGCCGATTCTCCCAACGCGCACAGTGGGGACTACATCTGGGCATCGAAAAACATTTCAACACATGAAAGATTTTCGACGTCGAGATAAAGGAAACAGTAGCAGCACGTGGTGTCATCTTCTACGAAAACCTCACCCTCCGGGATTACCTCGTCAACTTGCAAGAAGGAAACCCCGATCGCTCTGATGGTTTTCTTGGCACCCAAGCCTTCGCCTCGGCAGTCGACAAAGCTGAGTGGGACGAGAAGAACGTGGAAGGAGCTTCGGAAGAAGCCGGACCTCTCCCCTACTGCTCCGTCGACGTCCCAATGGATGACGAAAATCCACGCGAAAGCATCAACGTCGAAGCCTATTACCATTTTGCCGACAACGGTTACGTTACACCTGCACAAGTCAACACCAACGAAGCAAAACACGTAGGACCAAACTTCAATCCTACGCCAGAAGAGGGAGACGAAGCATCTTATCCCGCGGACACATCACTTCCCCGCTACACACAGAGTGGACTCCAGATACTCGGTCTCATCACCGCAGTCCATGGGATAGCCATTCCTAAAGAGCCTACGATAGTTTAGCGGGCTCTGGGGGGGGAGCATAAGGAAAAATGGCGCGAAGCCATGGACAAGGAGCTGAAAGCACTGGAGGAACGCAACACCTGGAAGGTTGTTCCTATCGGCGTAGTACGGAACAAAGCGATTCTCACCGGAAAGTGGGTCTTCCGCGTGAAGACGAAGGCTGATGGCACCATCGACAAGTTCAAAGCACGCTGGGTCGTACGTGGCTTCGACCAGGAACATGGACGTGACTTCAGCGAGACATTCGCTCCAGTCAGCCGACACACCTCGCTGCGAATTCTCCTCGCGATCGCCGCCATGAAGAGAAGGAAGCTTCGGCAAATTGACGTCGCCAACGCATTTCTCTACGCACCTGTCGACGCAGAAATCTTCGTCGAGCTACCGCACGGCTCCAACGGAGAACCTAACCAAGTCTGTCAGCTGCTGAAGTCGCTCTATGGCATCAAACAAGCCCCGAGGCTGTGGCAGCAGTACCTGCACGCAAGACTCATTCGGATCGGATTCCGCCAACTACCTCACGACCAAGGCATGTACCGGCTCACAAAGGGCACCGACTACATCTTGCTAATCGTCTACGTAGACGATTTGCTCTACATCGGCTCAACCGACAGCGTCACTACCTGGTTCGAAGGGGAGCTAAAGCAAGACCTTACACTCACAGTCTCATCTACCGTCACGCAATATCTCGGGCTCAACATACGGGAAGAGGAGGACGCGATCTATCTCAGCGCCGCGAAAAATGCCGATACCATCGCCAAGCGCTTCGCACTCACACCGACCGTCATCTCCACGCCATACCGCTACACGGCAGGAAACCACAAGGAAGGCTCCGCTCTACTCAAGCCCGCCGGCATACGGGACTACCAGAGGAAGCTGGGATGCCTCCTCTTCGCAGCTGTCACCTGCCGCCCGGACCTATCGTACTCTGCAAGCCAGCTCGCCACCTACCTCAAGAAACCTGAAGCGGAACATCTGGCGGAACTCGACCGCGCTCTTCACTACCTCGTCAGCACCCCGACAATCGGCCTGACCTACCATAAGAACACAACTATAACGCCTAAGCTAATCGGATACGTCGACGCCGATCACGCCGGTGACTCCAACAACAAGCGTTCCCGCACCGGCTACATCTACCGCTTCGAGCCTATCGGTCCTATCTCCTGGTAGTCGAGCAAACAGGAGTTAATCGCCCTCTCTTCAGCTGAAGCAGAATATATCGCACTCTGCTCAGCCACCAAGGAAGGACTGTACCTTCGCGAACTCCTGGAGGAAGCCAAGCTAGCCCAGTTACCAAACTTTACCCTGTTCTACGACAACCAGTCGGCCATTCGCATAGCCAACAAGAACGGCTTCGCGAACAGGACGAAACACATCGCCCTGCGATACTTCTTCGTGAAAGACAAGATCGAGAAGGGAAAACTCGAGCTGTCATACTGCCCCACATCCGAGATGGCAGCTGACTACTTGACCAAGAAGCTTGGAAAGCAGAAGTTCGAGTACTGCATGCTGCTGACTGGACAGAGCCACGTCACCAGCAGCGACACTCCAGAAGCGAAGGGGAGTGTTGGAAACAACTAACTTAAGCGCCTCTGTCGTGTCGAAACACCAAGACACAAGCGAAGCAAAACACTATCGAAGCACCAGCGAGTCAACCCTCGGAGGTTGAAGCAACTGTCGGAGGTTACGCGAAAGTCAAAGGTCAGCGACCTTTGACCTGACAAGTACAGCGCGTCAGCAAGGACACACAACTGACTCGTTACAGAGCAGTTGCCCGAGTCACTATATCGAACTGCAACAGCAACAGTAAAGTAGTTACAACTGTGTCTTTTCATATTCCCTGTATTCGTATATAATCTTGTATCTCTTTACTTTAATTAATCAACTTTGCCCTCACATACTAGCGCAAGGTGGTTCACAACTCTTCATTAAACGCTCCCGCTACTACATCAGTTCTACCCAGAGTTCACCCCTGCAAAGATCCTAAGGGCTATTTTCTCAGCCCAACAACATTCACCGTAACATTTGCCAGCGGGCTAAAGCCATGCTACACCTCTCTGCTGATTAGGATCTATAAATGCCGATACTGATGCTACCGTTATAGCTAGGATCCCAGCATCAAAGCCAACCCTGCTCCACTGGTACCCTCTATGCAATATCCCTTCCTCCCAAACAGCACCTCCCGCCCACATTACCAGCTCTTTCCCCAAGAACCCTTCACTTCAATCACATTCATTCTATCCACAAGCGATTGTGGCAGCTCCTTCAGATGCACGCACCCGTCCAGATCCACCTCCCCCAGACAGGACAAACTGGCCAAGTCGCAGGGCAGGGCCCTCAGGCGCTTGCATCCTTGCAGGGAGAGCTTTCTAAGGCATGGGAGGGAGAGAGAGGAGGGGAGGCGGCAGAGGAATGCAAGCCGTTTCAGTGTGAGAGAGGCAAGGCTGGAGAGAGAGGAGATGGAATTCAGGAGGCGGGTGAAATTAGGACACTCGACGATGGTGAGACGCACGAGGGAGGAGAGGAGGGTGACGGAGGGCGGCAGGGCTTTAAGCGCTTGGCACGACTCCAGACTCAGATCGCGCAGAGCTTTAAGCTGCCCGATATCCTCGGGCAGGTGGGTCAGCAAAGGGAGTGAATTGAGTGTCAGTTGTTGGAGATTGGTGAGGCTAGTGAGGGACGTGGGAAGGGAGGCCATGGCAGGATACTCCTCGAGCAGCAGCACTCTCAGCTGCACCAGATCGCCCAATGTTTCGGGGAGTGCTGAAAGGATGGAGAGAGCGATGTGAAGATGCTGCAGAGAAGATAGGAGATCCAATCTGACCGCCATATCAGAATCGGAATAGAATCTTTCAGATTGGTCATCGTGAGTGGTTTGAGCGTGGACTGAGGACTGGGTAACAAGCGGAGGGGAAATAAGCTGTTGGAGAGACGGAATGTCGTAGATGTTCAAGTGGGTGAGTTGGGTGAGGGAAAACAAGGATTTTGGAAGGTACTGGGCTGACTGGAAGACATTAGAGAGGATGATGGTTTTCATGGAAGTCGGAAGGGAGATGGGCGCAACCAGAGGACGGAAGGAGGAGGAGGTCGATGGGGGCGGGGATGTGGGTGGTGGCAAGGGGCTCTGGTGCGTGAGCTGGTGTGTGAGCTCTAGACTGGGGCAGTCTTCAAGAGCGAGGAGTTCCAGCCTAGGCAGCAGATGCAGGCCCTCTGGAAGACTCTCCAGGCGCGGGCAGTCAGATATCTCCAGCTGCTCCAGCGATGGAAATGGGGGAGCACCGGCAGCAGCGGCAGCAGCAGCAGCATCAGCGGCAGCAGCAGCAGCATCAGCGGCAGCAGCAGCAGCAGCGGCAGCAGCAGCAGCATCAGTGGCAGCAGCAGCAGCAGCATCAGAGGCAGCAGCAGTAGCAGTAGCAGTAGCAGCAGCAGCAGCAGCAGCAGGGAGGTCTGTCTTGAGAGTAGAAGAATCTCCGGCAGGGTTGTGAATGGGCGAGGAGAGCAGCGACGGGAAGAGCCGCAGCTGAGGGGAATTCTTAACATGGAGCACTCTTAGGCTGGCCAGCCCCCCCATGCCTGGCGGCAACTCCTCCAGCAGCTCACACCCCTCCAAAACGAGCTCTACCAGGCCTGTGAGGCGAACCAGGGGCTGGGGAAGCATGTGGAGGGCGCAGGCGCCTTCCAGCTCAGGCCCGTAATCTGATTCGCTCCTGGTCTCCAGCCTATTTGGGCTGTACGTTGCCTTTGTCCCGATCCTGAGCACTTCCAGGCTGGGAAGGTCCCCAAACCTGTCTGGCAGGCTCGTGAAGACGCAGTTGAAGAGGTAGAGAGTACGTAGCTTTGGGAGGGTTTCAAAGCCTGGAGGGAGGTCTACTAGGGAAGCCCCGCCGTGGATGAAAAATGTTTCCAAGGAGCCGAGATTGGTGAAGGAATTTGGAAGCTCAATCAGGCTGTTGCATTCCATGAATATTAATTTCTTCAGCTTCCCCAGCTGCCCGATCGAGTCGGGCACAGTAACGAGCTTGTTACTGGACAGCTTCAGCAAAACCAGGTTCGAGAGCTGCCCGATGTCTCCGGGCAGCTCCTGAAGGTCGCAGGCACCAAGAACGAGGCTTGTGAGTGACTCCATAGCGGAGACGGACTGTGGGAAGGCAGAAAGCTCGCAGCAGCCAATCACATTCAGCTCCTTAAGTTGAGATAGCTGGCCGATAGAGTCCGGAATAACCCTAAAATCCTCCAAATTTTCTAATTTAAGGCACTCTAGAGTGTAGATTCGGCCAAAATCTTCTGGCAGGGCCGTCGTGCTTCCACAGTTGCTGATCATTTAGCTACGGAGGGTTTGACTGGAGGAAAGGGAGGCTGGGAGCTGCGAGAAATTGAAGTTTTGAAGACGAAACTCCTGCAGGGCGGGCAGATGCCCGAACGAGTCAGGAAACGAAGTGAAGTCGGATAGACTCGAAATTTCTACCGCTTCCAAACTTGACAGCTGAAGAAAGTTCACGGGCAGCTTAATATAGTCATAGCAGTAAAGAAGCGAAAACCGCGTGAGGGCCGGTAGCTCGCAGAAGGATTCGGGCAACTCACGCAGACCGTCTACAAACGCGAGCGTGAGGCTCTTTAGGTTTCGCAGCTGCCCGAAATTCTCGGGTAGGTGAGAGACGTGGGATCTGTGAAGCTCCAAATGCTCCAGAGCCGTTAGATCGCAGATGGAGTCGGGCAGAGCTTCAAGGAAATCTAGTCTAAACTCCAACCGCTTCAATCGCGACAAGCAGCCGAATTCCGTTGGTAGCCCGGTTACGCTGTATGTTGATCGCATGCTGAGCCGCGTCAGCTGCTGCAAGCGGCTGATGGAAGGAGGCAGCGTGGGAACGCCGTCTGCCAGCCGTAGATCCAGATTGACCAATCGCGAGAAGGAATCGAAGATCTCGGATACATCGGAGGGCGATAACGCCGCAGGGCCGCGCCGCGCTATGCCTCTGATCTCGCCTCCCTGCACGCGTGTCGCCAGCCGACGATCGTACAGATGCATCGTAAGATGCGTCACGGAGGACTCGCATCCGTCGCAGACGGATCGCACGAGGTGGCGATCTACAACGTCCGTCGCGAATTTGCCGAGGTGCAGATGGAGAAGGTTCGGGAATCCCGAGGTGGGTGAAGTGAGGAGCGAGCCGAGAGTTTGGGAAGAGAAGAAGCGATCGCAAGGCACAACGATGGCGGGATGCACGGATCTGGCGACGCGCAGCCATCGCTTGCAGACCAGCGCGTGGCGAAAGGAGACGAGCGAAGAAGCGGTAACCACACGTGATTCTCGCGTGGTGTCAACCCACGCACTCTCCGACGGCAGAGATTCGTCCAATGCTTTGCTGATCGCGTCTCGCAGAATGTCCTCGTTACTAAAATCAGAATAGTGGCCGTCAAATCTAATGGTTGTCGCGGACGCGGCGAGAAGAAGGATCGAGCAAAGCAGATCATCAGACAACTGGGAGAATTGATCACCACTCGTCATATCTCCTACTCTGCCTGTGAACCTGGCAGTATGGAACGAGGTGACGCGTCGAATCGAGCCGTGAAGGTGCAACCTACGATTGAAATTCTCGAGAAATGAAGGACGAGTGATGGTTGTGAAAATTGTCGCAACAGGATTGGTATTCAGGCGAATTGGGCGGTTTCAAGCGGTGAAGAGAGGGCATTCCTCAAGAGAGGGTATTCGTCTTAGAAAGAAAATCAACGTTTTTAGGCTGACTTATGGAGACCTGAACGGAAGCAATACAAAATGTAGTGTCACAATCACTTGAGATGCCACATGCTACCATATTTCCACCAGAGTAACTTAGTTGTGAAAGTGAAATGTCACACTTCACATTCTGAAAATGAATGAATTTGCCAGCAGGCTATTGCTGTGGTACACCGTACACCTCTCTCTCTACTAATAAATAAGAACCTTTAAATGTCAACACTGATGCTACGGTAATAGGATCCCTCCCGTCTTCGAAGCCAATCTTGCTCCACGAGTACCCTCCATGCTTTATCCCTCTCTCCCAAACAGCACCTCCCACATTACCACCTCTTTCCCCAAGAACCCTTCACTGTAATCACATTCATCCTATCCACCAGCGAGTGTGGCAGCTCCTTCAGACGCGTACACCCGTCCAGATCCACCTCCCTCAGACAGGACAAACTGCCCAAGTCGCTGGGTAGGGCCCTCATAGCCTGAGTTTGAGAGAGGAAAGGCGGGAGAAGGACGATAGAGATTCTGGAAGACAAGTAATTTTCAGACAGTTGATGATGCTGAGTTGTATGAGGGAGGAGAGCAGAGTGCAGGAAGAAGGAAGGTCCTGCAGGGTTTTACATGAATCCAAACCCAACTCATTGAGTGCCTTCAGCTGCCCGAGATTCTCGGGCAGGTGAGTCAGCAGAGGAAGGGACTTGAGATCAATCTGCTGCAGTTTGGGAAGGGTAACGATGGAGGAGGGGAGGGATGTCATGGCATGGCACTTCTCTAGCAGCAGTACCACCAGCTCCCTCAGATCGCCTAGGTTTTCCGGAAGCGCGGGGAGGTTGGTGTTGACAATGTGAAGGTGCACCAGCGACGACAGGCGCCCCAACCCAGCCTGCTCAATCGATCCAGGCATTCGCGAAAGCTCAATCAGAGGAGCATGAGGTGTGCCCTCCTCTTCAGCTTCGGCTTTAGCTGGGGTTTAGGGTGCGTGAGAAATCGGAGGTCATATAGGTTCAAGTGACGAAGGTGGTCAAGGGAAAGGATGGATTCCGGGAGGTAGTGAGCTGACTTGAAGACATTTGAGATGATAATAGTTGAAACAGATGGCGGAAGGGAGATAGGCGCTGCTAATGGGGGGCTCGAATGGGAGGAGGGGAATGAAGAAACTGAGTTGGTGCTTGAGTTGTCGAGTTTTAGGCTAGTGCATTTTTCGAGCGTGAAATGCTTCAGCCTAGGCAGCAGATGGAGGCCTTCTGGAAGGTTTGTTAGCTTTGGGCAGGATGAAATTAGTAGTTCTTGAAGTAGTGGGAGTGGAGTGATGGTGGTGGAAAAGGAGGAGGTGTCAGTAAATGAGGTGGCAGCAGCTGAAGTGGCAGCAAATGAGGTGGGAGCAGCTGAAGTGGCAGCAGCTGAGGTGGGAGCAGCTGGGGTGGCAGAAAATGAGGCAGCAGCAGCAGCAAAGGTGGCAGCAGGAGCAGAAGATCCGTCAACTGGGGCACTGGCCTCAGCAGAGGGCAGGAAGGACGGAAAGACCTTTAACTGCTTGCACTTCTCCACTTTCAGGACCTTGAGGCTGCACAGACTGCCCATGCCGCTTGGAAGCTCCTTCAGCACCCGACACCCATCTATAATCATTTGCTCCAGGCGCGTGAGCAGGCTGAAGGAGGGGGGAAAGCTACGCAGGGAGCAGAATCCGTCCAACTAAATCTCCTGGCCTTCATTGGTGTATGTGTCAGTACTTTGCACTTTGAGAATCTCCAGGTTCGGCAGCTCACCGAACCTATCGGGCAGGTACGGCATGCCGCAGTTTAGCAGCTCTAGTGTGCGGAGCTTCGGCAGATTCTCGAAACCCAGAGGCAAGTCAATGAGCGAGGATCCACCATAGATGAGTAGGGTTTCTAATGAAGAGAGGTTGGTGAACGAGGCAGGGAGCTCGAATAGGTTGTAGCATTCGTAAATGGTCAGCTCTTTCAGCTGCCCTAGCTGCCCGAACGAGTCAGGCAGGTGAGAAAGGCTTGTAGAAAACAGCTTCACAGTGACCAAGTTTTGCAGCTGCCCAATGTCTCCGGGCAGGCCTGAAAAAGAGCAGCCGTCAAGAATGAGGCTTGTGAGCGCTCCCATGGCGGATACAGACTCTGGGAGGTTCACGAGATTGGCGCACTCAACCACTTTCAACTCCTTCAGTGCCATAAGGAACCCCAGGGAATGCGGAAGAGCCGTAAGTCGATCAAGAAACTTCAGGCGAAACTGCTGGAGAGCGGAAAACTGGCCGATAGATTCCGGCAGCGAGGATAGGCGTTTGCAGTCGTGGATGGTGAGACTCCGGAGGGCTGGAGATCCCAAGGGTTGGCCAGCGGGCAGCCTGCCGAACGAATCGGGAAACGAAGTGAGAGCAGGCAGATCGTCTAGATGCAGCGTATCTAGGTCGGGCAGCTGGAATAGATTCTCGGGTAGCATGGCGAATCGGCGACAATGGTCGATAGAAAGGTGGGAGAGCGCGGGCAGTTGACAGATGGATTCCGGAAGAGCAATGAGGCGACGCAGATACGAGAGGCTTAGGATCTTGATGTTACGAAGCTGGCCTAAATCGCTCGGGAGTTGGCCTATTAAGCAGTTGCGAAGAGAGAGATGCTCCAGGGAGGTGAGACAGTCGAACGAAATGGGCAGCTCGCGAAGAGACGGCGACACGATTAGTAACTGCTTCAGTCCCAACAAGCCGCAAAGCTCCTCTGGTAACCCGGTAACGTTACTGAAGCTCATGCTGAGGCGCGTAAGCTGCTGTAAGCGGCTGATGGAAGCTGGAATTTCAGAAACACCTTTTCCGAATCTTAAATCCAGATTGACCAGTCGCGTGCAGGAATTGAAAATCTCGGCGACATCTGAGCCCGAGATCGGTGCAAGGCTGGTCGACTGACCCCTGCTCGGTATTGACTGCTAGCTTGATATACTAGTTGTCACTCGTCGGCGATCGTACAGGTGCAGTGTGAAATGGGTCAGCGACGAGCCGCATTCGTCGCAGATGGATCGCACGAGGTGGCGATCTACGACGACGCGCAGGTGGCGAAGGTTCGGGAATCCCAAGGTGGGTGAGGTGAGGAGCGAGGCGAGAGTTCGTGCGGAGAAAAAGCGGTTTCGAGGCACGACGATGGCGGCATGCACGGATCTGGAAACGCGCAGCCATCGCTTGCACACGAGAGCGTGGCGGAAGGCAGTGAGCGATGAGCCTGTGGCGACAGGAGCTTCCGGTAACCCGAACAATACGCTCTCGCTCGGCAGGTGCTCATTCAACGCTTGCTCGATCCTCTTTCGCAGAATGGGCTCGTTATTGGGACAGTCGTGGGTATCGAACTTGGTGCCCTTAGATGCGACAAGGAGAAGAATCGTTTCTTCAAATCGTCAGAAATACTTGAAAAGGGATCATCATGGCTGCTAATTCGTTGCCGGCGTTCTGGCTGACCAGGGGCGCTTGGCTGCTTTGGCATTTCCCCTTGCGCTAGCTCAATAGTACCCATATGGCCGATGATTTAGCAGATGCCAAGTACACAGCAGCTCATAACAACACTGCAGTCAAAACGCGACGGAACAGCCCACTCCAGAGTCTAGAATCTAGGTCGGTTTTTGAGACACCATGGCTTCCCTGCTTGCCAGGGGTGTGGATGGAACCTCGCCGCACGTCCATGCTTCGGATGGCGATGCCGAAGCACTGGGTGAGCCAGAAGAATGCTGTACATAATACCACCCGTCATGTGTGAATTGTTGGGAACAATAAGTCTTAAAGCGCCTCTGTCGTGTCTAAACTCAGGACACAAGCGAAGCAGTCCAAATCGAAGCATCGCGAGTCAACCCTCGGAGGTTAGGGTAACCGCCTGGAGGTTACGCGAAGGTCAAAAGTCAGCGACCTTTGACTTGACAAATACAGCGCGTCAGCAAGGACAGACAACTGACTCGACATTGAGCAGTTGCCCGAGTCGCATTGTATCGAATCGCAACAGCAAAACAGTTTAATTATATCTATTCGTATTCCTTGTACTCTTATATAAAGCCTTGTATTTGCTTGTTTGAATCAACTCACTTTGCCCTCACATATTAGCGCAAGGTGGTTCAAGGACTTTTCATTCAAACGCTTCCGCTATTACAATCCTACTCAAAATTTAACTCTACAAAGATCCTAGGGCATCTCAGCCCAACATGGTATGAGAGCAGATAGAGTTCAAAGTTACTTTTTCTCTTAATACTTAATACAAGGAAGACATGTCTATTAGGAAGGAGAGGAGCTCCTCCAACGGTTCTCCAGGCACTACCCCTACTCCACCTCCTGTCTCTGGTCTACAGACGGAAGAAGGGACTACCACGAGACCAGCAGCTGGGTCTACGGAAACGCCCGCAGGCTTCGATCCAAGCATGATGGAGAAATTCTTCTCCTTCATGTCCTTCTACGAGCAGCACCAGCAAGGAGTACCTGCGCAGTCAAACAACAGCAACAACAACAACGTAACTCTTATGAGTCTCGACGGCTCATCCTACGCACGCGGAATTCAACAACAACAACAGCAGCAGCCTACCTTTGCGCCGTACGAGCCCCAGCGTGGCTCCGTCAGCTTCATGCCGCAAACCGCAATCTGCACCGGGACAAGAAAGGGCATTGGACGCATTACAAGTTCAATCGCAATTCCGCGCATGTTCTCAAGCTGCAAACGACAAAGCCTTTCGACAGAAAAGACTTCTTCACCTGGTCGTTCGAGTTCGAACTGATGATGGAAGGAGCACAGATTCTCGGCTTTCTTCGACGGGTCCCTGCCATATCCAACAAATGGGACACAATATGAGAAGCAGCAGTACACCTATCAATCAATGATGGCGTACACGATACTGCTAAGAAACATCACCCCGACCCAGCAGCAGAACATAAGGACTTACCGAGGCTACGGCAACTCCGCGGAGCTCGCGTACAACCACCTGAAGAACCTGTATCAAGCAACAGACAGCGTAAATCAAAGCAGGTTAATGGCGCAGTTGACAACAATTGAAATGAAACCAGGCGAGAAAGGCATGGCTTATATCAGCCGCTGCCGCGAACTGCGCGACAAGCTTCTTCGATGCGGAGGGTCGATTTCAGAAGACGCCTTTGTCACGGTGGTCATCGGCGGTCTCGGCCCCCACTGGCGCTCCACTCGCGCCATATTACGAGCACACGGGAGGATTTCCGAAGCGGCACTCTGCGCCAAAATTCATGCCGAGCAGCAGGACATGGACCTGCAAGAAGAAAGACACAAGAAGAAAACATTAGCACCGGAGTTTGCGTTTCAAATTCAGCGACGATACAACAACAACAACAACAATCGACAACAGCAACAACTGAAGACGGTACCTCCGTTTTGCCACATCTGCAAGACTTCGGGACACCCTCGCACGCACTGCCCGTCTCGTCAGACAACACCACAGCGACAACTCCGGCCTTCAAAGCTCCCAAGTTGCCTCAACACAAGCAAATCCGACGACCTCAATCCAAGCTTCAACGACTCCAACAGGACAATCTGCACAAGGAGCAAGAAACATTGTCAATTGCATGGTGAAGATAACTGATTCGTGCACAACCGAATCACCACCTCACTACTCACCGGAAGAAGAGCTCGACTGTGAAAATAGGAAAACAGGAATGAATGAACTATGAATGAAAGCAGTACAAATATGAAACCCTAACTGGGTTGTACCCCCTATGGGATACCCCCTACAGCCTACACATCAGTATAAGCTATAGATATGTTCATGACACACCCCCATAGGCAAAGTGGGGGAGAACAAGGGGTCACAAGACCAGTCAAGCAAGACAAAGCAAAGCTCAGGGTGGATCACAAAGTCACCACACAGTCCGAGCACAAGAGCAAGGCCAAAGGCCAGTTCACAAGCAACAGTACAGACATATATATAAAGCTAGACAGCAAGAGCAGGTATATATATATGTCACAGTACAAGTGAAGTCAAGAGGAGAGCAAGTGAGGCAAGACAGGCACAAGACCCAGCTGGGTGCAGAAGCGCTGATGGTCACAAGGCGCAAGTGCCTTGGTGAACACATCAGCAGTGTTGGCCTCAGAGGCCACGTACGCAAGTCGCAACTGACCACGCTGCTGCAGCTCACGAGCAAGGAAGTAGCGGAGAGCAATGTGCTTCGTTCTGTGCTCCAAGCGCTGCTCTCGACACAAGGCCAGCATAGCCTTGTTGTCTACGTACAGCACTTGAGGAGAACGAGGCGGCTCTCCAAGGTCAGTCAGCAGGTAGGTGAGCCAGCGAAGCTCCTGTGCAGCCATGGCCCCGGCGTAGATCTCAGCCTCACAACTGGAGCCGAGAACCGAAGACGAGCGAGTAGACCGCCACGAGACAGAGCCGGAACCAAGGCTGAAGGTGTAACCCTGTGACGACCGCTGCGTAGCCTGGTCGTCAGCCCAAGAAGCGTCCGCGTGGCCGGTAAGGACCACTGGACTCCGCCCTCCAAGCACTAGCCCCATGCCTGACGTACTGCACAGGTAGCGCAATACCCTCTTCGCTGCAGCCATGTGCTCCGGTCTGTGTCTCCCAGGAGCAACATAGCGTGCAAGAATGCTCAGAGGGTATGCAAGGTCAGGTCGTGTGCAGGTCATCAGGTACATGAGGCAGCCAACAAGCTCCGCATACGGACCACTCGACTCTACGGACTCATCCGAAGGCAGAGCTGAGAGTGAGTGGCGAGTAGGCAGAGGAGTGGCCTGAGGCGAGGAGTACGTGAAGCCGAAGCGCTGAAGGACCTGCTGCACCATGTGTGACTGAGTCAAGGTAATGGTGCGGCGTGCTCTGTCCCGAGTGATCTGCAAGCCAAGGTAGCTGCGCAGTTCACCCAGGTCTGTGCACGTGTGTCTCTTCAACAGCTCGGACTTCACGTAGGCGAGTCCAGCAGTGTCCGCTGTGGCAAAGACCAGGTCGTCGACGTACACGAGGATGTAGAACGGCGGCAGGGAAGTGTCGGTGCGAAGAAACAGCGACGGGTCAGCAGTAGAAGGAGCAAACCCAAGAGCCGCAAGTGTAGTCCCTCAGTGTGTCGTGCCACTCACGCGGTGCCTGGCGGAGACCGTAGACTGGCCGTCGGAGGCTCCACTGGGTGCCAGGAGGGAAAGTCCCAGTGAAGCCAGGTGGACGGCGAAGCCAGATCTCCTCGTGCAGGCTACCCTGCAAGAACGCAGTGCTGAAGTCGAGAGAGTGAAGCTCGTAGTCGCGCTGAGCGGCTATGTGCAGCAGCACCCGAAGAGTAGTCATCTTCGGGGTGGGAGAGAAGGTCCTGAAAGTAGTCAACTCCCTGCCGCTGACTGAAGCCACGAGCAACGTACCGTGCCTTGAAGACAGGTGGAGAGCCCGGCGGCCGCTTCACCCTGAAGATCCACATGCCACTGACGATGTTCGCCCCAGGAGGGGGGAAACCGCGTCAACGTAGGTGCCTGTGGACTTCCAGGAAGCCATCTCTGCATCCATAGCTGCCTGCCACTGAGAGGAGTAGGGACCCTCTACGGCCTCCGCGTAAGAACGCGGAGTCGGGATGTCTAGTGCATCCCGGGTCTCCCTCAGGGGGCAAGCAGTACAGACGCGAGATGAGGTGAAGCAGCCGCTAGACACTGTAACTCCTCCTGCCTGTCCTCTAGGACGTCCGTGCCAAGAGCACACTCACCCCGACGGACGGAGGACAGACAGACGCAGACTCAGCAACAAGGCTAGCAGCGTAGTCGAGACGGCAGCGAGCAGCAAAGTCGACGAGCTCAGCGACTAAAGCAGACGCAGCAGTGGACTCAAAAGAGGGGTCAGTGACGACAGTAGCAAGCAGACGCGTGACAGTGGGACTGGCAGCACGAAGAGAGTCCGACTCAGGGTCCGCAAGCGCAGGAAGAGAGGACTCAGGAGGAGAAGGCAAAGGGGCACGCAGAGGAGCAGTGGACGGACGTAAAGACATCCGGTGCGTGCCAGGGACAGGAGGAGGACGCTGACGGCGAACTGCGACCACTAGCGCGAGCAGCACGAACAGGCGACGCGGGACGAGACGCAGGCTCACGACGCTCAGCAAGACCTCCAGTAGGACCAGTGTAAGGAGAGGGAGCAGGCAGTGGAGAGGAAGGCTCCAGTAGGGGCTGCGACTGGACAGGCGGTGGACCCTCGACTGGAGGAGAAAGACCAAGAACCTGCTGAAGGAGCGGAACGAAGTACGGCCGAGGCCGCGCGGCAGCTCCAGACTCAGCAGGGACAGCACCAGCACCCTCAGCGACAGCACCAGCGCCACCCACACCTCCAGCGGCAGGACCAACAGCAGCAGGCTCAGCACGAACGCCCTCAGCAGCTCCAGCTCCAGGAGGACCTGCAGGGCCAGCAGCTCCGGGACCGGCTGCACCCGCACCCATCGACGGTCGAAGAAGCTCCAGCTCCAGCTCCAGCAGCACCTCCAGACTCAGCAGCACGCCTCCAGCGGCGAGCGAACCACTCGCGCAGCTCCTGTGGAGAGAGGGGCTCCCGGCGAGACGCAGCAGCAGGAGAAACCCAGGCTTAGCAAGCCCCAAGCTCCAGCGCAGCACCCCCAGGCTCAGCAGCTCCCGACCCAGCACCCCCAGACCCAGCACCTCCAGGCACAGCGACCCCCCGGCTCAGCACCCCCAGGCTCCGCACCCTCCGCAGTAGCACCCTCAGGCCCAGCACCCCCAGCAGTAGCACCCCCAGGCTCAGCACCCCGCGCACAGCACCCCCAGAGTCAGCACCCCCAGGCTCAGCACCCGCAGCAGCACCAGAGTCACCAGTAACCTCGACCGGGTCAACGGCGTCTACCTGGGACACACCTGAGGGGGCAGGAACCTGAGGGGGAGGGGGTCTACCGGGGGGGAACCGGCACAAGGAAGTCCGGGGAGGGGGGAGGGAAGGAGTGCGGTAGGGGAAGAGACGGTAGAAGGGGACTGACTCGTCGAACGTGACGTCCTGGGAGGACAGAACACGACGAGAGGAGGGGTGGTAAAACTGCCACCCTGGGGCGTCAGTGGGGAAGCCAAGGAAGACACAGGGAGCAGCACGAGGGGACAGCTTGTCCGCAGACAGGTCGCGGAAAAACGCCCGAGATCCCCAGACACGGAACACAGACGCATCGCCAACCTTCCCCGTCCACAGCAAGGCTGGGGACATCGCTGGCCGAGAGACCCGGGGGTGAAGGTTGAGCTGATGCGCCGCGTACCTCACCGCAAACGGCCACAGAAAATGGGGGGCAGCCGCATGCATCATGGACGTACGAGCGACATCCATGACCATGCCAATGCGGCGCTCAGCAATCCCATTTTGCTGTGGTGAGTCCGGAAGCGTGAAGGTCTGGCGGATCCCCCGTGCACGACAGTAGTCTCGCAGAAGGCGAGAAGAGAACTCTCCGCCTCTGTCAGAGTGCAGACGGAGAACAGGAAAGTCCGAGCCGAAGCTCTTCCTGAGCTGGAGACGAGCCTCGCGGATCCAGTCGATCAGCACCTCAGTGACCGCACCCTTGCTGCACAAGGGGAGGACTGTGGTGTAACGCGAGTAGTCGTCAACCACCAACAGGAAGTAGCTCTCGTAACCCTGCCCACGGACGGGGGCTGGGCCCCACACATCCATGTGAAGCGTCTGCAGGGGAGCCTCTGTCGGGGGGAAGTGGGAGAGTGAGGAGTAGCCCGGAGGCGACCCTCGACACAGGGGACACAGGAAGGTCCTGGCCCGGAGGGGAGAGGAGGGAGAGACTGGGGAAGACCAGAGACAAGGACACGGGAAGCCATGCTCCGAAGACGGGGCAAGGAGGGGTGGCCAAGACGGTGGTGCCACAGGAGGGTCTCGTGAGACAGGAGGCGACAAGAACAGGGGGCAGACTCAGGACCTGACCGGGACGCAGCAGCAAGTACCTGACCCGACGCAGCCACCTGACCAGACGCAGGGACAGGAGGAGACTCAACGGTCAGGGTGTAGAGACTCGACCCCGGCCGACGTGAGAACGTGGCCAGGTGTCGGCCTGTGCGAGCCTCCGTGCAGTGGGTCACCCTCTGACGCGCAGGAGTGAACTGGTGAAACCCCCATCCTGCAGGTCCGCTCCACTCACCAAGTTCGTAGAGAACGAGGGAAGGTACAGACCCGACAGGGTGCCCGAAGGGGCAGCCGGACACGGGAGGACAGTGGAGAAGTGAGACAGGACAGGACCCCCAGAGGGGTCAGCAAGGGAGACCGCAACCGGCCTGGCGAGCGGCGAAAGGGTAGTGCGGTCTCGAAAGAAGGAGCGAGAAGCTCCGGAGTCAAGTGTGAAAGTGAGGGAGGACGAGGACGACTCAGTACCTGAGAGCGCAGTCTCACCAGTACCTGAGAGCGCAGACGCACTGGCACCTAGAGCAACAGCCTCACAAGCACCTAGCGCAGCAGTACCAATGCCCGGGTCGGGCTGAAAACACCGGTAACCCTCATTCTCCTCACTATAATCCACAACATACATAGCAGTAAGGATAGCATCAAAATCAAGATCAAAGATCGCTACACCAGCCCTGAGAAGCTCATCCCAGCGAGGGATCTCACTAGCCCCAGGGAACTGCTGACGCCAAGCGTCCGTCAGGCGGCCAAAGCAGCGCTGGGTGGCGTGGGCACCCCCACACTGCTCACCCGCGCGGTCGCCGGAACAAAGAACGTAGGTGCAGGGACCAGTACCCCCACCCCTCTGACGCCCAGCGTACCACTCACGAAGCTGCTGAGGCGAAGGGATGTCCCGCGAGCGCTGCTGCTGCTGCCGGTGCGAGCGCTGGCCACCACCACCGCCGCTACGCTGCTGGGTACCACCCCGACCAGCTCCACCTCCTCCACCACTACTGCCTCCTCCGCTGCCGCCTCCACTGCCTCCACCTCCGCCGCCTCCACCTCCGCCGCTGCCTCCACCACCACCGCTGGCACCACCACCACCGTCTCCGCCGCTGCTGCCGCCACCACCACCACCACCACCGCCACTAGCCCCGCCGCCACCCCCACTCCCTCCGCCGCCACCGCCGCCACCGCCACCGCCCCCTCCAGCTCCACCCGCGCCCTTGCCCCCCTTGCCCTTGCTGGAGCGACGTCTCCCACTAGGGGCAGACGCCGCGCCGACCGACTCAAGACCAAGCAGGTCGGCAGCAGCAGCAGAGGCAACAGAGGGCAGCAAGGGGGAAGGAGAGCACCCCTCAAAGATGGGGGTGCGAGGGTCACCACGAGAAGCACCTACAGCGACTATGCTCTTCTCCGCTGCAAGGAGGGCCTTCTCGAGGAGGTCGACGGTGAGAGTGGTGGGACAGACTGCGAGAAAGTGGTCCCTGACGACGCGAAGGGAGTCAGGGAGGCGTGCGACTACGTAGTAGAGAGCGATGTACATGGGGGGGGGGTTCTTAGCGCAGAACTCAGCAGGAAGGGCGGCGCGGTAGCGAGTGTCACTAGTGCGGAGGTGCGTAATGAGGTCAGCGACAGTGGGAAAGGCAGAGAGGTCAGGAAGAGGTAGGGAAGCATGAGACGGCTCAGTGCAGCAGTGGCAGGGGAGGAGTAGCGCGCAACTACAGCGTCGTACAAGGTCTGAGCACTCTTGTACTGACTAAAGTGCGCACGCTCAGAGGTAGGGAGGTGGCGACGCACAGCAAGACGTGCAGCAGCATCGCGGGTGGCCCACTTAGAGCGGACAGCGGGATCAGCATCAGCAGCAGGGGCAGGAGAGGCGCCAGAGGTGAGGTCAAAGAGAGAAAGGTCGTCAGCCCTGTCGCACTGTAAGAAGAGCTGCAGGTCGTCTAACCAGACCTCAAAATCAATGGCGCGACCCTCAGCGTCAAAAGCTAGGACACTAGGGGTAGCCATGGTGACGACAGCGACGCAGTGCAAGCAGTGGGGAAAGAGCTCGCAGTGTCAGTGGGACAGTGCTCACCAGGCAGGGCAGGTCGTGCAGTCAGCAGAAAGGCGGCTCAGCGACCGGGCGGCTCGGGTGCACAGCTGCTCGGCTCCCGGGCGGCTCGGCGGCTGGGCGGCTCGGGCGCAGGGCGGCTCGGCTCCCGGGCGGCTCGGCGGCTGGGCAGCTAGGGTGCAGGGCGGCTCGGCTCCCGGGCGGCTCGGCGGCTGGGCGGCTCGGGTGCAGGGCGGTTCGGCTCCCGGGCGGCTCGGCGGCAGGGCGGCTCGGGTCCCGGGCGGCTCGGCTGCTGGGGCGGCTCGGCCGGGAGATGCAGCGTCGGGCCGGCAGGTGCAGCGTCGGGCCGGCAGGTGCAGCGGCGGGCCGGCAGGTGCAAGTGGCGGGCCGTAAGAGGCGGCGGGCCGATGGGTGCAGCGGCGGGCCGGTAGGTGCAGCGGCGGGCCGGCAGGAGCAGCGGCGGGCCGGCAGGGTGCAGCGGCGGGCCGGCAGGAGCAGCGACGGGCCGGCAGGGTGCAGCGGCGGGCCGTAGAGTGCAGCGGCGGGGCCGTCGGCAGCAGAGGCGGGGCCGCGTCAGAGGAGGCGGCGTGGCCGCGTCAGGGGAGGCGGCGGGGCCGCGTCAATGGAGGCGGCGGGGCCGCGTTAGGGGAGGCGGCGGAGTCGCGTCAGGGGAGGCGGCGGGGCCTCGTCAGGGGAGGCGGCGGGGCCGCGTCAAGGGAGGCGGCAGGGCCGCGTCAGGGGAGGCGGCAGGGCCGCGTCAAGGGAGGCGGCAGGGCCGCGTCAGGGGAGGCGGCGGGGCCGCGTCAGGGGAGGCGGCGAGGCCGCGTCAAGGGAGGCGGCGGGGCAGCGTCAAGGGAGGCGGCGGGGCCGCGTTAAAAGAGGCGGCAAAGCCGCGTCAGAGGAGGCGGCGGGGCCGCGAGTGAAAAGGCGACCCGAGGGGTCGCTAAAAGAAAGGCGCGCCTCGGGGCGCGCGTCGGTGGGCCCAAACAACGGTCCTAAGGTAGGACCCGCTCTGATACCATGTGAAAATAGGAAAACAGGAATGAATGAACTATGAATGAAAGCAGTACAAATATGAAACCCTAACTGGGTTGTACCCCCTATGGGATACCCCACTACAGCCTACACATCAGTATAAGCTATAGATATGTTCTGACATCGACAACAGGACGCCTCGCCGCGAGTCACTCTAACCGAATCCGACGTACGCCGCCATCGCTCAAAGCGAACCGTCTGGGCAAGACACCTGGTTCTTGGACAGTTGCTGCGGACAACATATGTGCTCCTCGGGACGCTTCGTTCAACGCGAACATCGACTCCAGCGAGTAGTCATCACGGTCGCCAACAACCAGAACCTGCGCACACAACGACAAGGAGTAGTTCAGCTTCAATCAAGAGAGACAAACGTCATACTGCACATGTCAAAGGTACTCATCGCAGAAGGACTCGGTTATAACTTACTGAGTGTCAGCCAGCTGATGGCGAAAGGCATCCACATAGAAGCCGACAGCACCACCCAGGAGTTTAAACTGTACCACGGGAAGGGCGGCCTCTACATCGGAAGAGCAGTTTTGAAGAACAACGTCTTCGTCCTCGATTTCGTCCCCGACCTTGGCACTGCAGATAGCGACGCCATCGTCAACTTCGCCGATTGGACACATCCCCCGGATCTCAATCCCTACTTAGCCCGGGAGGTTTCTAATACTCGCACACCATCCCTGAAGCAGAACGAACACGAGGGTTAGCAACAATTCAACAAACGGCAGTAGCAGAGACAACATCGACAGCAGTAGAGACAACATCGGCAGCAGCAGAGACAACATCGGCAGCAGCAGAGACAACATCGACAGCAGCAGAAACATCATCGGCAGCAGCAGGACGAACGACACCAGTCATCGTCCACGAAGCACCACCAACACCCGCACAGCAACTGAACCCGACTCAACGAGAAGTCCACAGAAGCGCCAATGTCGTCGCCAGCTTCTACTCCAACTCCGACGTATCAACGCTCACCAACGGCACCGGACATCGCGCTCCTGAAGACATCTGGCACGCACGCACAGGACATCCAAGCAACACAGTATTAAATAACAGAATACGAGCAGGAGTTCTCGACAAAGATTCGCTACTACCACCCGACGGCAGAGAACTTCAACAGGCACGAGGAACTTGCCTCATCTGCCCCGAAGCCGACTTACCCCATCGACCGTTTTCTTCTCACCACAACCCGAGCGCACCTGCATACGCACCACTCGAGAAAGTATACAGCGACATCCTCTTCAATCGAGAACCAGGACAAGTCACCTACAATTACACAATAACCTTCATCGACGCCGCCACTCGATACGTCTGGCATCGAAACCTACCCAGCCGCGACATGGCACTCGCAGCGTTCGCCGCTTGGCTACCGGTAGCAGAGAGGGAGTCAGGAACACAGCTGAAAAGCTTCCAGTCAGACGGAGGAGGAGAATACACCTCTCAGCGCTTCAAGCAGTACCTGGCGGAAAGGGGAATCAAGCAAATCCTCTCCCTTCCCTACGCCCATCAGCAGCAAGGTGTTGCAGAAAGAATGAACAGGGATCTGCAGAACAGCATGCGCAAACTGCTACGTGGCATGCGGCTACCCAACCACCAGTGGCCTGCAGCAATGGACCATGCTGTCATGCTGCACAACTTGCTGTCGTCGTCGTCACTCCCGAACAACGCATCACCGCATCTGCTGTGGACAGGAAAGCATGGCAGCACAAGAATGTTACGAGTTTTCAGATGCATGGTGCAGTACCGACCCCCAGAAGCACGAGCGGGAAGATTTTCACAACAGGCACAGTGGGGACTACACCTCGGCATCGAGAAAAATTACAACGCGTGGAAAATTTTCGATGTCCACTCAAAGGAAACAGTAGCAGCACGTGATGTGATCTTCTACGAGCGACTCACCCTTCAAACGTACCTCGCCAACTTTCACGCGAATCAGGACCCCACAGGTGGTTTTCATGGTGACCGAGCCTTCGCCTCAGCAGCGGACGAAGCAGACTGGGATGAACAGAATGTCGACAACGCATCGGAAGAAACCGGACCTCTCCCGTACTGCTCCGTCGACGTGCCCATGGACGAAGACAATCCTCGCGATAGTGTCAACGCCGAAGTCTTCTATCACTTCGCCGACAACGGTTACGTAACACCTGCGACAGTCAACACAAACGAAGCAGAACGGATAGGGCCAAATTTCATACCCGATCCAGAAGCGGGAGACGAAGCAGCTTATCCTGAGGATCCAACACTCCCCCGCTACTCACAGATTGGACTGCAAATCCTCGGCCTCGTCACTGCAGTCCACGGCAACGTACTTCCTAAGGAGCCTGCGACGGTTCAGCAGGCTCTAGGGGGGGAACACAGGGAGAAATGGCGCGAAGCCATGGACAGAGAGTTAAAGGCACTGGAGGAACGCAACACTTGGAAGGTCGTTCCCGCAAGCGTGGCAAGGAACAAGACCATTCTCCCGGGAAATGGGTCTTCCGCATCAAAACGAAAGCAGACAGCACAATCGAGAAGTTCAAAGCACGCTGGGTCGTGCGTGGATTTGACCAAGAGCAAGGACGAGACTTCACCGAGACATTCGCCCCAGTTAGTCGACATACCTCTCTTCGAATTCTTCTCGCCGTTGCCGCCATGAAGAAGAAGAAACCGCGACAAATCGATGTCGCCAACGCATTTCTCTACGCACCCGTCGACGCCAAAATCTTCGTCGAACTCCCACACGGTACCCACGGAAACCCCAATCAGGTCTGCCAGCTACTGAAATCGCTCTACGGAACAAACAAGCCCCGCGGCTGTGGTAACAGCACCTACACACCCGACTCACTCGCATCGGATTCCGCCAACTGCCGCACGACCAATGAATGTATCGATTCACTAAAGACGCCGATTACATCCTACTGATCGTCTACGTCGACGACCTACTCTACATCGGCTCCACCGACGACATCACCACCTGGTTCGAAGGGGAGCTGCAGAAGGACCTCACGCTCACGGTTTCTTCTACCGTCACCCAGTACCTCGGGCTCAACATCCGCGAAGAAGAAAATGCTATCTACTTAAGCGCCGAGAAATACGCCGACACTATCGCCAAGCGCTTCTCGCTCACACCTACCGCTATCACCACGCCATACCGCTACACGACAGGAAGTAACAAAGGAAATTCCGCTCCACTCAAAGCTGCCGGAATACGAGACTACCAGAGGAAACTGGGCTGCCTCCTCTTCGCAGCCGTCACCTGCCGCCCGGATCTATCCTACTCCGCAAGCCAACTCGCTACCTACCTCAAGAAACCCGAAGCAGAGCACCTGGCGGAGCTCGATCGCGCACTACACTACTTCGTGAGCACTCCGACGATCGGCCTGACTTACTACAAAAACGAAACTACGACCACGAAACTAATCGGCTACGTCGATGCCGATCATGCCGGCGATTCTAACATAGGCGCTCTCGCACTGGCTACGTCTATCGTCTCGAGCCTATCGGACCTATCTCATGGCAGTCGAGCAAGCAGGAACTAATCGCTCTCTCTTCAGCTGAAGCAGAATATATCGCCCTCTGCTCAGCCACCAAGGAAGGACTCTACCTTCGCGAGCTGCTGGAAGAAGCAAAGTTAGCCGAGTTACCCAATTTCACACCCTATTCTGCGACAACCAATCTGCAATTCGCATCGCCAACAAAAGCGGATTCGCGAACAGAACGAAGCATATCACTCTGCGATACTTCTTCGTGAAAGACGAGATCGAGAAAGGGAAACTCGATTTATCCTATTGTCCCACGTCCGAGATGGCAGCCGATTACTTGACCAAGAAACTCGGAAAACAGAATTTCAAGTACTGCATGCTGCTGACTGGACAAGGCCACCTCACCATTAGCGACACTCCAGAAGCGAAGGGGAGTGTTGGGAACAATAAGTCTTAAA